ACTCCATAAAGAGAAGCACAAGCCCCTCCCCACCAGCTGAAACTTTAAAAGACGTCCTGGACAAAGAGGATAGATAAAGCCGTCAGAATAAAGGAACATCCACAAACATGAACAAGTCCTTTTGTAAACACAGATCCAAAACTGGTTTGCGGCAGATTCACCTGTGACGAGTCTGTGAAGGTTTTCTCTACGTATTTTTCTTACAGCCAAACTTGAGTATTGTGTTTTTTAAATACCTGTTGCAGAGTGCTGACCTTTGCGAACAAAACAAACTAGTTTCACCGCAAGTTTCTACAGGACTCTTGACTTCAGAGGCTGGTTTTCCAAACTGTTGGTTGTGCCGACTGCTCCCTCTCTGCAGATCCACACGCTCAGCCGCTGCACCTCTGGATCAGGTATGAAACTTCCTCAAATTATTACAATTGTCTATTTATACTGCTGGTAATCTACTTCAGTTCACGCATTTACAAAAATAACAGCGGTCTAAGAGAGGCGTGGGCAAACTTTTTGACTCACAAAAGGTTCTAAAATTTGACGAAAGGACCGGACCAGGAGCAGATGGATGGAGTTTTTTGGTAATCCACCTCATAAAGAGAAAAAATAACATGGAATATGATAGAAAACATACCCCACGTTATTGAAATATCATCATAACAAAGCATTACAACTAAATATCTGTTTTTCAAGTCCCCACGGTGTTTACTATTTATTGAAATGACGTTTAAAAACACTGAAAAAGATTATTGTTATTCAAGTTCAGCGAACCTGGTCTAAGATGTGACAAGAACAAAAATGATACATATATAGACAATTTAAACTAAACTAAACTAAAAACGTCACTTTTGTCACAAATGTTTGAACATCTGAACTTGTTGTAAATGGGGAAGATTTCTTAGTCTAATAGAAAACACTGTGCTGAGTTTATTGTTAATATTTTGGGCAACTCAATGTATAATTTACAGTCTAAACAACAAGAAAGTGCAGTTAAATGACTTTTGTTTGTTTGTATTTTTTGTGTAGTTTCGATTTATAGGTGCAGATCGATTTAATACTATAAATCAGAGTTGGGGACTTGCAAATTGTGACTTTTTTAGGACTTGAGACTTTCAGGACTTGATAAAATGGACCAAGACTTGGGACTCGACTTGGACTTGAAGGTCAGTGACTTGGGACTTGACTCGGACTTGAAGGTCCCTGTGACTTGAGAAGACCTGATGCTTCTGCAAAAAAAAATATGTGTTTTTAGAAAATACTTTTCTCTTTACAGTTGATAAATGCTGTGCTTAATTTTACAGGAACAAACTGGAACATGTCGCTCCCACTTCTCCGTTTGTTACTTTGGATGTAACTGAAGTACTGTGATGTGGTATCCTTAAATGTACTACAGTAATATACAGTACAATACAGTAAATCAGAGGGAACCAAAAGAACATGATCCTTCCATTTCAGACAAAATAACTGATGTTAAGCACTTTTAAATCTTCTTCTAATTCTTTCTATTCTCACCGTAATGATTCACACTTAGATCTTGTCAAGACATTTAAAAAGGAAAAAAGTGCATTTTTAAAACTCAAATATACCGTAAGTTTAGTTTAAAATTCATATAAATTGCAAAAATCTAAGCTATATTATATGGTACTTGGGTTTAAAGACTTGAAATGACTTGAAGCTCAAAGCAGACGACTTGGACTTGACTTGGACTTACGGACCAGTGACTCGAGACTCGACTTGGACTTGCCTGTATTTAACTTGGGACTTGAGGTCAAAGACTTGAGACTTACTTGAGACTTGCAAAACAACGACTTGGTCCCACCTCTGTCTATAAATACTTTCATGATAAAACTCTGCCATGTGGACAAAAAAAAAAAAAAAAAAAAAAAAGGATTTAACTTTAATACACATAACACTTTAAAGGGCCCATATTATGATCATTTCTAATTTTATGATGTTGTTTCCTCGACACAAACAGACCTGGGGTTGTGTTTTGTTTCATTCACACATGTTTAACACACAAATCCTGAAAACTTAGGCTGAAACTGAAAACTCTCTGCTCTACCTATAATTTCTGCTTTGGAAAACGACCGCTTCGTGACATCACAAGGTGGTATGGAGCGTTTTGAGAAGAAAAACATGTGTAAATGAAAAAAACGCGCAACTGTAGGTGCGTTTTTGATGAAGTAACAACATTATAACATGGCTTAAAGATCACAAGAGTCAATATAGAATTAAAAAAAATACTTTGGATGAAACTGAAGTACTGTGATGTGGTATCCTCAAATGTACTAAAGTAATATACAGAACAATACAGTACAAGTACAATACAATACTCACGTGTAGTGGTTCAAAATATCTGTTGATCAGTGCTGAAAGTCTCGTTCGCAGTTACAGAAATCGTTTGTTTGCAGATTTTGCCTCAAAAAGTTGTGCAACAAAATATAAAGTTAAGAGTATTATCATTTTTTGTCCAGGCCAGTTTCATTATTTAGTTTTTTTTCTAATGATTCTGTTTAACCACAGGTGAAAAGCAATGTTTGATTTTCGTTGGACAATTTTCAGTAATTTTTTTTTATTTTTTATTATTGCTTTTCTCAGTTTCAAGTTATTTCAGTGAGATTACCAGAGGGATATTGACCATTTTGAACACGTTTGTAAATTAAAGTCATTTTAAGATGTATTTTTGCAGTGTTTTTGTACTACTTTACTATTCCCTGTACCTCTAAGTGTGTAACCCCCCCTGTATCCATAAGTTGTTTTTCCTCCTCTTCCTATTTCCATTTGCTCCAGACAGAGAGAGGCCCCCGGTCCCGTCCCAGACACCCCCCTCGGGCCCCGCTCTCCGGCCCTCTCTCCCTCTTTCCCTCCTCTCTCTCTCTCTCTGCACACCGTCCTCTCCTCCTAACAGGATTATCACAGCGCGAGGGGGCGTGTCTGCTGCAGGTGGCGCTGTCGAGTCCTCCCCGTCTATAATCCGGGACTATTCTCACCGCGGGACAGTCCGGGCCACAGTTAATCTGCAGCAGCCCTCGGACACACACACGGGAGCTGTCTGTGTCCGAGCTGCTACAACTGGAGATACAGGTAAGACTGGACTTTAAAAAATACTCGTTTATTAGCAGAGAATTTCACTAGATTCGAGTGGGTTAAAGGTTATTCATTCAACTTTTTTGTAATACATTATAATTAGCTCATTTGAATTCGCCACTTTTGTCGCTAAATCATGTTTTTTGTGCTTGTATTCGTGCATTATTATTGTTTTATCATAAGTAGTTCTATCATTTTGGAATTATTTTTCAATTTTAGTGATGTTGTACTGCTTTTGGTACCCATAGGTTTCAGAATAATGAAAATTTTGAGTCGTTTCCATAGTGATTAACAATTCAAAATTCAGAATATTATATCTTTTGAGCGTGTGAATGAGTATAATTACCACAAGGTCTGCAATAGAATAAAATAACTCAATTTACTATGGTTTTTGGAATGTAAAAATACAGGTTTCAGCTTCCTGTTACAGTATTATGCAACATTTTTTGAGGACTTTTCATCAAAAAGATAGGATATTATGTTTTAAGTTGTTAATTGTCATGACAACAGTACTTATTTTTCACTACTACTGACTTAGAGTTGTATCTGTTTTCTGAATTGTGTAATTTTCAAATGAATATCCGTGAATGTAAAATAGCAAATTTGTTTTCTTGGTGGTTGGGCAGTGCAATGTCAAATTAAATCATGATTTAAACACGTGGTGTACGAGTGTGAAAAGTCCCTCAGTCAGGTCCAGGTAGAATCCATGGCAAAAGGAGAAATTCAAGTTTATTTGCTTGAATATGTTTCGCTGCTCATCCAAGCTGCTGCTTCAGTTCAGAACTGAAGCATATTCGACCAAATAAACTTTTGTCCGGTTGACAAATTGAATTTCTCCTTTGCCATGTGATGTACCACTTTGTAGAGACTGTTATAGGTTTTTTTTCTTAGGCTCTTTAGGCGTGTGTTGGACAGGGACACACGCCGCGCTCCTCCTGACTGAGGTGAGTGACACACGATTAAACCGATCACAGTGACAATTGTGGAGACAAATAAGATCATCAAGAGTTTAACCAGAGCACACAGGGGTTAAAGTGTGCATGACAGATTTGGATGATTCTCTCATTTTGGCTTAAGTTGGTGGCATAATACCTAACCTGATTCATCAGCTGGTTTCACTTTGTGGAAAACATCTGACCTCTAAGCGTTAAAATTCGTTCGCTCGACAGTAGGCGGGTACTTTTTTTTATTTAACAAATCGCTATTTGGTCATGACGTATGTAATGCGCCAAATCCCGTAGGAAGAAGGACAATATCGTCTTTCCCCTTGATAAAATTCACCAAACGTTCTCTTTGTTCCGGTTTTAAATCCTCAATCTCTGGAATCGTTGACAACACAGAATATATGGCTCGTCGCTGATTGGCTGGTGCCCGAACTCGCACTTCCAGAGTTCTTGCAAACCGCCTTCCTAACCTAGGTGGCATGAGCCTCACTAACGTAATACCTGCTGTAAATATAAATTATAATTTTACACCAATGAAGGAGCAGTTTGTTTAGAAAAGTTGGAAAATATGTTGAAAATTTAAAGGAAGGTGAGAGTTAAGAGAGATCACACTAAGGAGAATTCTGTACAAGTTCATCACGATTTAGACACTAGAAGCACATTTAAAAAAAAATTTCAACAAAATAAAGGTGTTTTTTTAGAATATTATCTGTCAAATTATAATTTCTGTGTACATGAGAGAAATTTACAATGAGGAAGTCAAATTTGAAACCTTAAAAAATGGCAAGATTGGGAAAAATGTTTGAATGTTTTAGTGAAATCTTACAATAATAATGTGTTTTAGTGAAATGTGTAGTCTAACCCGTCATAGGAACTTTAAACGCAATGATACATAGGCCAGCAAGAATGAATGAAAAGTCTTCGCTCTTCTGGTCTGCAGGATGTGATGTGCGGTCGGCCCCTTGTGTGAGTGCAATGACAGCGGAGGAGCCACAGGGGGAGCTGTCTGCCTCAGAGGGACAGGTCACAGAAGCACAGACTCACAAACAAGAAGAAGAAAAAGAAGAAGTCTACATCAACCAAAAAGAAACGACCACGGTGCACCTGCTGCCCCCGACAGATAAACTCCAGGAGGATGAGACCCCCTCCACAGACAGGTATCATAAACACATAATAATAATAATCCTACGTAATCCTAATAAGTCCTACTGTGCTCTTTGTGCCAGTCCCAGGCTCAGGGAAATGATAGGACAGTGCTTTCCAAAGTGGTCGTAAATATAAATTGGAAGATGCAGCCTATGTATTCTGTTCAAGCAGTGTGTTGAAATAGATCAAATTACACAATAAAATAGTTTTTTTAATGGAACTTGTACAATTCTGTATTTGTTGTTGCTATTCTAACAAATCAATATCCTTTATTCTTTCTTTGTTTTGTCCAAAATTATGCTCACAGTTTGTACACTGGAGAAAAAAAAAATCTATATCTAGGTAAGTTGAAATGACTTAAATTAAGAATATTTTACTTTATTTGAGTCGAATCAACCTGCCAAGTAAAATGATCTACCAATGGAATAAGTGTGTTTCTCTTAATTCAAGCAACATTAGATTTTGTTTTTTATTTTAAGTGCAAAAAGTTGTTGTTTTTCTTATTTTAAGTGTAGCAAGTGCAAAAAAGTCTTGTTCTGCTGATACATAATTTTACTTGTCAAGTGAAATTTACTAAAATCAAGTAAAATGTTTTTAATTCAAGTCATTTTAACTTAGCTAGATTTTTTATTTTTTTCCCCAGTGTACAAACTATAAATATAATTTTGGACAAAGCAAAGAAAAAACAAAGGATGCTGATTTGTTAGCATGGCAACAACAAATACACAATTGTACAAGTTGTATTAAAAAAAACAAAGTACTTTATTGTGTAATTTGATCTACTTCAACATAATGCTCAAACAGAATACAAAGGCTGCATCTTCCAAGTCATTTTTGCGACTTTGGAAAGCACTGCCCTACATTTCCCTGAGCCTGGGACTGGCACAATGACATGAAATTAACTCCAAATCGTGATAAAACTTTCTTAATTCACGTCATCTTAACTCACCTAGATTTTAGTTTTTGCAGTGTAAATAAAAGATAAAGTTGTCTCCTGCTCCCTCTGTGTCACAGTGAGGAGCCTTTCTGTCGTATCTGCCATGAGGGCCCCCAGAGCGGGCCCCTGCTCTCCCCCTGTGACTGCTCGGGGACCCTGGCTCTGGTGCATCAGCGCTGCCTGGAGCTGTGGCTCACGGCCTCCAACAGCAGCCACTGTGAGCTGTGCCAGCACCAGTACTGCCTGGAGAGACTGCCCAAGCCTTTCACGGAGGTAAATGATGACAGAGATACTAACACACACTGAATATTACACACTGTATCAGCAGGAGGTTAGTCTTATCTGGACTTTTAGCTGCCACTGGTCAGTTTTGGTGAATTGAAGTCTTCCAAATGATCTGAGCACCTGAGAGAGTTTCACCTTTATTCTTTTTTGCACTTTTGAGATTTGGGATTTTTTTATTTTACTTGGACCACGTAGACTGGGTGATCAGGACTGAGACCAGAACCAGACTGGAACCAGACCGGGACCAGATGGGATTAAACCAGGTCTAAACCAGGGACCAGACCAAGACTGAGACCGGGAAAAAAAACAGGATCAGACAGGGACTGAGACTGGGACCAGACCGGGACCAGACCAGGACTGAGACTGAGTCCAGACTGGGACCAGACCAGGACTGAGACTGAGACCAGACTGGGGCCAGACCGGGACCAGACTGGGACCAGACCGGGACTGAGACTGAGCCCAGACTGGGACCAGTCTGAGACTGAGACCAGACTGGGACCAGACCGGGACTGAGACTGAGCCCAGACTGGGACCAGACCAGGACTGAGACTGAGACCAGACCGGGACCAGACCGGGACCAGGCCCTAACTGAGACTGGGACTGAGACCGGGACTGAGACCAGGACCAAACCAGGACCAAATCGGGACTGAGACTGGTTTAGTCCTGGTTTAGACCTAGTTTAGACATGGTTCAATTTTGGTTTAGACCTGCTTTAGACCTGGTTCAGTTCTGGATTAGACCTGGTTTAGACCTGGATCAGTTTTGATTTAGACCTGGATTAGACCTGGTTCAGTTCTGTTTTAAAATCAAAAACTGAAAAAACGAATCATTATCTGTTTTTGTCATTTTGGTTTTGGAGACAAATAATAAAGAAAATAGTTATTTTTTCCTTTTCTTATTTGTGGTTTTATTTTGAAAAATGAATGAACTACTGATACACAGATTCATGTCGACTAACATTTTGTTCTCTAATAAAGAAAACAAGTAGGATGTACTTAAAGGTACAGTGTGTAACTTTCCTGGTGGAGCGTCTGCCACCTGCTTGTTCCCATGGCGACGTTATTGGTCCATGTGTTTTCCTCGTGCAGCTCTCGGGCGCAGATAGCGGTTATGAAAATAGCCAGGTGCGTTTGACACGACACTGCCTCTGACTCTTTTAGACGTCCATCCACTTAACCCCAGCGCCGAGTCCGGGCCTTTTTCTCAATGGCCCGATGACGTCACAGGGGGCGGGGCTTGTGTCGTAGTGGGCGGGGCCTGGGCTCTTCACGTTGGTCGTCCTGCTGCGGTGACTAAAAGCAGATTAGATTATACACAGATTAAAGGTGTGCCCTCTCCGTGCTCTCGGTGTGGGACAGGGTGAGTGACCCGTGGCGCTGGGTGATTATCTCATGATTAGGCTCGGGCGCTGAGAATAAGCCGTCTCTCATAACACCGCGCACATGGAGCAGACACTTTTCACTTCATTTCACATTAACGGGACGAGAAATTAACTAACATGTGATTGAAAATATAAAATGTGTTTTCCAGACACTGAAAAGTTGTAAAGTCGTGTTAAAATTTCATACATTTGTAATTTAAAAGTGCATTGTGTAACTTTTCTTTCGGGGGGTCGACCATCTGTCATGGAGACGTCATTGTTTTGTCTGCAGTGTTACGCAGTTACAGCTCAGATCTGCGAGAAGAAGAGCCCAGACGCTTCTACGTGTATTTTTGAGCGATAAAACACTTTATAGAGAGACAGATAACTTTAAAGCCATAGTGTGGAACATTCCAGGCAAAGCAAAAACATCTCCAAGCAGGTGGCAGATCTTCCACCAGAAAAGTTGCATAATGAAGATTTAAGTCTATTCATGAGTGTCCGCTGCTTTCTTTTCTTACTTTTAGGTTCCCATTCAAAAGATATAACATACCGTATTTTTGAGACTATAAGTCGCTCCGGGGTATAAATTGCACCAGCCAAAAAAATAATGAAGAAAAAAACATAAATAAGTCAAACTTTTGGGGGGGAATTTATTTGATAAACTCAGAAACCAGGAACCGACATTTCATCTTGAAAGGCAAGTTATAGTAAAAACAATAGAACAGAGAACAACAGACTGTAAATATAAAGGCAAACAGCAACTAGTATTAGCGAACTACTGAGAAAAACTTTATGGTCATGAATAAAACATGAAAAAGTCATTCTTAAATAAGTAACTTGTTAACTCAGACTGATTCTAGTTTTATCCATCCATCCATTTTCTTCCTCTTATCCAGGGCTGGGTAGCGGGGGCAGCGGTATAAGCAGGGACTCAGACTTCCCTCACCCCAGACACTTCCTCCAGTTCCTCCGGGGGAACCCTGAGGTGTTTCCAGGCCAGCCCAGAGACATAGTCCCTCCAGCATGTCCTGGATCCTCCCCAGACATGCTATATTCTAGATTTTATACTTAAAATTAAATATCGAAAATCGACTTATGTTTTGTTCATGACCAGAATATGTCCTTTGTCGACCTTGTTGGATGAAGATTTGGTGATGGGGCAAATTTATGAAGCTAGTGGAAAATACATGAGACATTTCCAAAGATATTTCACCATAGAAAACCATTAACGTAAGTGACTTCTACCCTACATCGCAGTACTTCCAGCCATTGTGAAAAAGGTCTATTCTAAAACCCATGGATTGACTTGGTAGTTTTACTGCTACAAACAAACTATCCTAGAGGTTGGTTGCTGCCTTTTCTTAGTAAATGTGAAACTAAGAATTAAATGCAAAATTGTCTAACTGAATGACAAAAACGTGAGCACTAACAAGTATTTTTCATTCTCTAATTTAGGTCAGATTTTCCCCATTAAACGCTCTCTTCCCTCTCTGTCTCTTACAGTGGCTGTGTGCTTCGTCCGTGCAGCAGCAGAGGCGCACTCTCGTGGGGGACCTGCTCTGCTTCCTCTTCATCACTCCTCTCTCCAGTCTGTCGGGCTGGCTCTGCGTTCAGGGAGCCAGAGACCTTTACTTCACCAACGCCGCCGAGGCCCTGGGGCTGATGCTGCTCACTGTGTCACTGCTCACCATCTACGTCTTCTGGAGCATAGTACGGACACTTTACTCACAGTTCAATCTGGAGATCAGGGGCTAAAGGGACAGTTTGGAATTTTGTTAGAGTGTTGGAGACAGTTTTTGAAATATTCCGTCCAGTCCTTGTATTTGCAGAGGTCGCTGGTGCTAGGCTAGTGCATGTCAATGGCCATAGTTATCCTGCCACTAAAAACAGTCTTACCCACTCCACAAAACACCCGAAGAAAATCTATTATTACACCAGACTGTCGATGTAAATGTCTGTGTTGATAGAATAATGTTTGAAATAAAACTAACCTTGTATCGCATGAATCGTCGCATGTTGAGGGACTATTTTCTCATATATCAGTCCGCCGCTGCCAAACTTTCTATCAGGAAGTACAACTCGCTGCTGCTCAGACATAAATCCTTCAAATGCAAAATTGGTTTAACTTCTAAAATTATTCTCTCGACACAAACATTCACATCGATAGTCATGTAAACCATAACCAATATAGAGCCAATTCAGCCCGTTTGATTTAATGCAGGTTTGCACATATTTGTTTATGTTTTACAGAAACTAAATTTAAAACCGCATGGCTCATTTGCATAAACTGTAAGTGCAAAAAATGTAAAAGAAAAAAAAAAATCATCTCATCTAAATCGCTTATCTAAACTTCATGTATACTGAACACATTTTTAAATCTATATAAATGCAAGGGTGATTAAAAAAGAACACCGTAAACATCGTGTTGGTGACCCCTGTTCCATATTATCGTTTATCGAGATATTTCTCTGCAGCAATATATCGTTATTATGGTGTGATGAAGAGTAGGGCCCCTTTGAAAACTGGATCCTTAAATTCAGGAGGAGTTTTAAATGAAGGTCGATCAGTTTCAGCTCATTTTATATATTCAAAGTTAAAAAAAAAATCCTTTGTGTTGCGCAGGTGTCCGTGCGGTACCACCTTCACCTGTACAGAACATGGAGGACCACAGACCAAAGAGTGAGACTAAAGATCCCTTCCTCCTGCTCCTCTGAGCCAGAACCAAACCAGCAAACTGTGCCCCGAGAGACTGCGGACAAAACCACCAACAAGGAGACCATAGTGTGACCCACCAAGAGATCCAACATGGAGAACATCTACAGGTCCAACATGGAGGACATCTACAGGTCCAACATGGAGAACATCTACAGGTCCAACATGGAGAACATCTACAGGTCCAACATGGAGAACATCTACAGGTCCAACATGGAGAACATCTACAGGTCCAACATGGAGGACATCTACAGGTCCAACATGGGGAACATCTACAGGTCCAACATGGGGGACATCTACAGGTCCAACATGGAGAACATCTACAGGTCCAACATGGGGGACATCTACAGGTCCAACATGGAGGACAACTACAGGTCCAACATGAAGAACATGTACAGGTCCAACATGGAGAACATCTACAGGTCCAACATGAAGGACAACTACAGGTTCAACATGGAGAACATCTAAAGGTCCAACATGGGGGACATCTACAGGTCCAACATGGGGGACATCTACAGGTCCAACATGGAGGACATCTACAGGTCCAACATGGGGGACATCTACAGGTCCAACATGGAGGACATCTACAGGTCCAACATGGGGGACATCTACAGGTCCAACATGGAGGACATCTACAGGTCCAACATGGAGAACATGTACAGGTCCAACATGGAGAACATCTACAGGTCCAACATGGAGGACATCTACAGGTCCAACATGGAGAACATCTACAGGTCCAACATGGGGGACATCTACAGGTCCAACATGGGGGAATCACAGGTCCAACATGGAGACATCTACAGGTCCAACATGGAGGACAACTACAGGTCCAACTGCACATCTACAGCCAACATGGAGACATCTACAGGTCCAACATGGAGGAACATCTACAGGTCCAACATGGAGGACATCTACAGGTCCAACATGGGGACATCTACAGGTCCAACATGGGGGACATCTACAGGTCCAACATGGGGACATCTACAGGTCCAACATGGAGAACATCTACAGGTCCAACATGGAGAACATCTACAGGTCCAACATGGGGGACATCTACAGGTCCAACATGGAGAACATCTACAGGTCCAACATGGAGAACATCTACAGGTCCAACATGGAGGACATCTACAGGTCCAACATGGGGGACATCTACAGGTCCAACATGGAGGACATCTACAGGTCCAACATGGAGGACATCTACAGGTCCAACATGGAGAACATTTACAGGTCCAACTGGGGCCACGTCTTAATTCTCTTTCCTCTGTTCCTTCTCCTTGATTCCTCTTCGGGATTCTGCAGGAAATGGGTGAAGAAGTCCAATCCACAGAGGAGACAAAGCGAGGAGAGAGGACATAAACTCCTCACTGAGACCAAAAAAGTTTGATTCTTTTTTCTGATGTCTGCCTCCTGAAGCCTCCCTCAGGTTTACTCCTTCCTTGTGTGGTTTCTTTGGGACACACTTAATATGACACATCTGATGGAGAGCTGAAAAATGGAGGATCGAGGAGAGGAATCAAGGAGAAGGAAGAGAGGAAAGAGAATTAAGATGCAGCCATGAAGGAACATCTACAGATCCAAACATGGAGAACATCTACAGGTCCAACATAGGGGACGTCTAGAAAGCTTTTCTATTATATTTTTGTACTTTGTGTGTCTTACAAGCTGCTTTTTTTTAAACATTGGAAAATTTTGATATTATTTCAATGCAGTTTATAGCTTTACATAAACAAGAGGTGAGAATCTTGGAGAGTCTCCAATCATCTCAGACCACTGCACAGGAGCTGCAGTTTTGGGAATGGACAATGTCACCTACCTCACATGGATCTCCCTCATTTTTAATAGATAATTCAATAGTGTAGTTTTAATTTGGATGTATTTAAAGGTGCATTGTGTAACTTTTCTGGTGGAGGGTCCGTCAAATGATTTTGTACATGGAGAGTACGGCATTAAACCTTTCTGGAGACCAAACCAGACCAAGTTACAGGTCAGAACGCAGTCAGAATGTCTGTTTTTCCACGTTTTTTGAGCTATAAAACCACCTGTAACTGACTAAATCTAAGGTAGAGGTGTTTAATGTCATACTGTGGAACATTTCAGACAGAGAAAGTGACATATCTACAGAAACAAGCAGGTGACGAACCCCCAACCAAAACGTTACACCGTGCACCTTTACATTCGCAGTGTCAAAGTAGATTAGTTACATTTTTATGGCTATTTTAATCTGCCTTCCCTGTGACCAAAAATGGATCAACAATCAACCCCTTTTGGCTTTAAACAACTGACGACAATCTTTTGCAAAGTCACAATTCAGCGCTGAGCCTGTGTGAAGTCTGAGCTCCTGCGTCAAGAATTGCAATGAACAATCTTCGTTTTAAGGTAGAATTTTTAGAGACACATTGGTTCAACTCACGGATTACTTTTATTTTTTTATATTGACGAAAGCAAAATGGAGGATCATCTATTTTGAAAATTTTTCCAAAAGGACAGCTAGTTGATGTAGGACTTTGCGCTGGACTATTGAGACGTTCCAATGACTGATGTTATTTTTGGAAGACTGTGAATTTTATATTGAACTTTACGAACTTGAAGCTGCTCAAATTGCCGCAGTTAGGCCATTATTCGTTGACTCGCCTCTAGGAAATCTGTTCCAATATCAGATTTGTCTTTTTTTTAACAGGAACATGGAAAAAGAAGAGCAATTAGTCTTAAAAAAGGCTGTATGTTTACACAACCATCAGCTAAATATAGGAGTGTAACAATAACCAAAATACTGTCATATCATATCGTCAAAAGTCTCACAATAATATCATGGGCTGTTAAAATATATCAAATCACAAGTTACTTTGCTTAAATGCATGACTTTATAGCAGCAACGCTTATAAACATTGGGAACTACATATCCCATGATTCATTTCAGCACAGACAACATGAAGAAATATGTTTCTGACTTGAATTCTTGGGATTATGACAAAAATAATTTACACCAAAATCTTGTCAGGGTATTTTAAAAGCAAAAAAGTGCCATATCTACAATTATATCAGCCTCTCGAAAATATCACAATAAATATCGTACCGTGAGATGCGTATCGTGATAATATTATACCGAGAGCACATCAGTTACTTGAGGCGAGTGCGTTGGAGGAGATGGAGCAGCCCAAGAACATAGAGAAAAATCCTGCATACCGTCTTACTTGCAAATTGTGAGATTTATTAGGACAAACCGTGCAACGTTTCGGCACTACGTCTTCATCAAGCGAACTATTTGCCCGATGGCTTAGCACCGAAATGTTGCGTGGTTTGTCCTAATAAATCTCACAATTTGCAAGGAAGACAGAATGCGGGATTTTTTTCTATACTTTTACTCAAGTGAAAAATTTGTGATCTACAGTATATATTTCAACTTATGAGACATTTGTGGGCCTTTTGTGGCTTTTTAATATTTGTTATTGACTGACAGCCATATCGGTAAATATCAGATTTCGGTAGCTGCTCAAAAAAATAATAATAAAATTTAAAAATCCAAAATCTGCTTCTTTAAAGTCTTAACTGGAGGTTGTGTTATTGCAGTTTTACATGTTCACCAGCAGATGGCGCCATTGTCGTCATTTTAGAAAGCAAGAACTTGTAAGGACACGTTGCTGTGTTACTGTAGGATGGTAAAAGTGGAAAATGTCTTTGCATGTGAAAGACCAAACATGAAAAGTCTTTATATTTTTTCATCAGGTTCAGTTTGTTTTAATAGTTTGTGTAATATTGGACATTCAAATAAACTCCTCTGACTTTAAACACCCAATTTTCCTTTTATACGACGATGAACATTTGGAAGAACAAAAAATAAAACCTCAAATACTAATTCTGTGTTTGTTCCTCAGCTGCTTGACATAGTTGAATACTCCTCACATTGTTGTGCTCTTGAGTCATGCACTTCTCAAACACGTGATGGTCTGATCTCACATGACGCTGATACTTCTCATTAGACGCTCTTCAGTCTTTAGTCTTTAGTCACATTTAAAACTTCACTGGATTTTTAAGTGATTTCTGTGTGTAGACAGTTTGCACAACTCATTTACACCAAAAAAAAAAAAAAAAAAAAAAAGTAGTTAAATGGCCCATATTCAGTGTTGGGGAGTAACAGATTACATGTACAGGAGTTATGTAATCAGAGTACAAATTATGAGTAACTGTATTCAGTTACAGTTACTGTTTCAGTGAGTGGTAATTGGATTACAGTTACTTTGTTGAAATAAATGGATTACACAGGTCTAAACCAGGTCTAAACCAGGTCTAAACCAGGACTAAACCAGGACTAAACCAGGACTAAAACCAGGACTAAACCAGGACTAAAACCAGGACTAAAACCAGGACTAAAACCGGGACTAAACCAGGTCTAAAACCAGGTCTAAACCAGGACTAAAACCAGGACTAATCCAGGACTAAAACCGGGACTAAACCAAGACTAAAAACCAGGACTAAACCAAGACTAAAACCAGGACTAAAACCAGGTCTAAACCAGGACTAAACCAGATCTAAACCAGGACTAAACCAGGTCTAAACAGGACTAAAACCAGGACTAAAACCAGGACTAAACCAGGACTAAAACCGGGACTAAACCAGGTCTAAAACCAGGTCTAAACCAGGACTAAAACCGGGACTAAACCAAGACTAAAACCAGGACTAAAAGACTAAACCAGGACTAAACCAAGACTAAAACCAGGACTAAAACCAGGTCTAAACCAGGACTAAACCAGATCTAAACCAGGACTAAACCAGGACTAAACCAGGACTAAACCAAGACTAAAACAGGACTAAAACCAGGTCTAAAACCAGGTCTAAATCAGGACTAAAACCAGGTCTAAAACCAGGTCTAAACCAGGTCTAAACCAGGACTAAACCAGGTCTAAACCAGGTCTAAACAGGACTAAAACCAGGACTAAACCAGATCTAAACCAGGACTAAAACCAGGACTAAAACCAGGTCTAAACTAAAACCAGGTCTAAACCAGGTAAATCAGGACTAAAACCAGGTCCAGGTCTAAACCAGGACTAAACCAGGTTAAACCAGTAAACCAGGACTAAAACCAGTCTAAACCAGTCTAAACCAGGACTAAAACCAGGTCTAAAACCAGTCTAAACCAGGACTAAAACCAGGTCTAAACCAGGTCTAAACCAGGACTAAAACCAGGTCTAAACCAGGTCTAAATCAGGACTAAAACCAGGTCTAAACCAGGTCTAAACCAGGACTAAAACCAGGTCTAAACTGTGTCTCAAACAGGATTTAACAGGATGTCTCCTCTTCTTCTATCAATAATATTTTTAATTTGGTTAAGTTTGGACTTTTGTCTTTTAGCAAACAAAACATTTTATATTACGATTTCCTCGTCTTTGCTTCTCTACAGCAAATCAAGTAATCCAAAGTATTCAGATTACGTTACTCACTTTAAGTACCTTAATGGATTACGTTACAAACTACATTTTGGGGTCTGTAACCTGTAATCTGTAGGGGAATACATTTAAAAGTAACCTTCCCAACACTGCACATATTGCACTATTTTCTGATGTTCTAATGTTGTTTTCCTCATCAAAAACAGACCTGGAATTGTGTTTTGTTTCATTCACGCATGTTTAACACAAAAACCCTGCGTATTAAGGCTGAGTTCTTCTTCAGAAAACACTCAGATCCACCTTGTGATGTCACATGGTAATACAGGACGTGCATCATTGTGTTCTTAAACTTCAGACTGCAATTTTTCTTCTGATCTCACCAAGATGTTAAAACTTGTATCAGGTTATTCATCTCGTTTTCAGATTTATTATCGACTTACTAGTTCTGAGGCTGCTTCATTCTAGTCAAGAGGTAGTTTATTTTAAGATAACTTGTCAAGTAAAATGATCTTGCTGCATGGACAGATAATTTCATGGCTTTTATCCAATCAAACTTTATCTGTACATCACATTTTATAAACAAAACTGTTGCCAAAGTGCTTTAGATAGCAATGCAAAACATTTTACTTTAAAATTTAACATCTGCAAAATTATGTTTCAATCGTGAGGAAACAAATAGAATCAAGCCATTTTCTGATCCATTTAAGTGTTTACATCTTAAATTTTGGCCAAGTTTTTTTTTTTTTTTTTTTTTTTTTGCAGTGTACAACTTTGTATAATTTCATCCCAGGAATTGCCAATCTCTAATTAATTAAAGGTAAAAGGAGCTGTTAACTTGAAAACTTCTACTGTAATTGATGACATCACAAGGTGGAACAGAGCATTTTGAGCTTTGGAAATGTAGACAGACTAATAGTTACTCAAACGTGTGTGAATGAAACAAAACACCTCAGATATTTTTGAGGAGTTAACAACATCCTAACATGGCTTAAAGCTCATATAAATCAGTTTTGTGTGATATAGAAAGGCCCTTTGACTTAATATGAACAAATTTTAAGATTCTTAGTATAATTTAGTCCCTGAGTAAGTTGAGTAAGTTTATAATTTTACTTCCTGGTTGGACATGAGCAGCAGAGAGAACGACAGAACCGTTCTGTAAACAAGGGCCAAAGCTCATCCATTTCATTAGTTACAAATGACTATTGTGTAAAAACATCAATCAACAAATGTTTTATTGGGGGTTTTTTTTGTTTGTTTTTTTTCATTTTAAACATTAACCTAACAAAACAAAAAGCAGAAAAATTCAGAAATGGTTCCTGCGTTTTGGATAGAATTTTGTAAGTTCGGCTCGGTGATCAGATTTTCAAACTTCTAAACTGGGACACACCCGGGTTGGGATGAATGGTATAAATTAAATTGTGAAATGAGCATGTAAAATTGTGCATTCTCGTGTCAGTCATGACCCGAGGGACTTCTGTTGCTGAATCTTTTTTGTTTGGTCATTTGCAAACACAAATTTCTGTATTTCAGCAAAACAAATGACAATTTATGTTCCTCTTTTCTGTTGGCGGGGATCAGATTGGTCTAAAATTTGTGATAGTCCTGGTTTAGACCTGATGTAGTCCTGGTTTAGATCAAATTTGTCAAAATAGGGTCACATGGGCCATTTCTTGGGGACTGGTTTTGTATAAATCTGACACAGGGCTCAGAACTGGGACTGTCCCGTGCAAGTAGGGACGTCTGGTCACTACTTGCACGGGACAAGTTTGTCTGTTTGTTTGTCTGTTAGCAACATAACTCAAAAAGTTATGGACCGATTTTGATGAAATTTTCAGGATTTGTTGGAAATGTGAAAGGGAAGAACTGATTTCATTTTGGGGGTGATCCGGAAGAAATCCTGGATTCTGGATCACTTTGAAATTTTAGTTAACATTGTGGTAAATGGGGCCAAAAATTTTGTTTCTCAGTATCTTTAATTATTGACCAAACCCCATGAAATTTGACTCAGGGATGGACAATGGGATCCTCTTTCATATTCCAAAGGCTGATCCGGATCTGATCCAGAAGACTGATTTGATCGCAATTTATATAAAAAATGGGGGTAGTCCTTGGCGGAGGTCTGCGCTCTCTGACTGCTTTTCTAGTTTAAACTTTTCTTCAAACCTGCCACTTGACTAAATGTAAAAACTGGTTTATATTTACTACAGAAAATTTTGACACACGCACCCAAGCTTGATAAACTCTAAGTATAATAAAATGAACAATACATGTATTTGTAATTGTGAAGAACATTTTCACATTTTTTCAACAAAACCTGCATATCGAAAATAATCACAAAACGAGTCATATTTGTTACGAAGTCTTTATTAATATTAAATTAAAACTATTATCTTGTGCAAATTATATGTCTTGCAGTTCAAGTACAAACCTGGCCTGTACTATGTGTTGCCAAAGAAACACGTAGTACAGGCCGGGTTTGTACGAGGAGCAGCAGCAGCAGGTTTTGGTGTTTGGATCAGAAAAGCAGAAGAGATCACATGACCGCACAACTGGCCTCCTTACAGTGGTCCTGTGAACAGACAGACTCCATTAGAAACTTTTGTACCAGTGTCTGGAAATACTGGGTTAGTGCTCAAAGTCAAATGAGGCAGAGTACACGCTTTCTCACACAGGATTAAAACCTGGGGGCTAAAACCCGGGGGTTACACGGACTAAACCCAAGACTAAACAAACTAAACCCAGGACTAAAACCCAGGACACCCAGGACTCCACGGACTAAACCCAAGACTGAAATCCAGGACTAAACGAACTAGAAACCAGAACTACACAGACTAAACCGAGAACTAAAACCCCAAGGGACCAGACAGACTAAAATCCAGAGACTAAAACCCAGAACTACACGGACTAAACCGAGAACTAAAACCCAGTACTAAATGAACAAAACCCAGGACTAAATGAACTAAACCCAGGACTAAATGAACTAAACCCAGGACTAAATGAACTAAACCCAGGACTAAATGAACTAAACCAGGGACTCCACGCACTAAACCCAGGACTAAAACCCAGAACTACACGGACCAAAACCCAGAACTACACGGACCAAAACCCAGAACTACACGGACCAAAACCCAGAACTAAGGACTAAAACCCAGGACTAAACAGACTAAAACCCAGGACTAAACAGGACTAAAACCCAGGACTAAACAGACTAAAACCCAGGACTAAACAGACTAAAACCCAGGACTAAACAGACTAAAACCCAGGACTAAACAGACTAAAACCCAGGACTAAACAGACTAAAACCCAGGACTAAACAGACTAAAACCCAGGACTAAAAGACTAAAACCCAGGACTAAAACCTAAAACCCAGGACTAAACAGACTAAAACCCAGACTAAAACCCAGGACTAAAACCCAGGACTAAAACCCAGGACTAAAACCCAGGACTAAAACCCAGGACTACACAGATTAAACCCGGGAATAAAACCCAGGACTAAACAAACTAAAACACAGGACTAAACGACCTAAACCCAGGACAAAAAACCAGGGCTCCATGGACTAAACCCAACCCTAAAACCCAGGACTAAATTACCTAAACCCAGGACTAAAACCCAGAACTAAATGACCTAAACCCAGGACTAAACCAGGGACTCCAGAGACTAAACCCAGGACTAAACAAAGTCTACATCAAGAGTAAACTGGGATTAAACCCGATGTGGAAATGTGAACACAAACTCAAGATATATAGTCTTGAATTCCATTAAACAAAATATTAACCACAGGTAGATTAGAACAAGATTTAAACTCCCATTGTTAGTAAAGTCTTCGAAATGTACACACGAATTAAGACAATAAACACGCAGCGACTTTCTTGAGCAAAAATCACTTTCAGAATTACATTAAAGCTGCACTGTGTAACTTTTCTGTTGATGGTTCTGCTACCTGCTTGTCTCCTTGGAGGTGTAACTGCTTTGCTCCATTAAACTTGTAGTTATTCAAATGTTTGTATTGCTACTTTGAAGAACATGGATTCTACCATCAGTGGGGTCGCCTCTCCACAGATCTGACCTGTGACTCAGCCTATAGTGTCAGCACCTGCTCGTCTCCATGGCATTAGACTACAGATTGATGCTATAACATTTAACAATAACATCTCTAAAAAGGACAAGCAGGTGGCGGACCTTCGACAGAAAAGCAACACACTGCACTTTTAAGCTTCATACACACACATATATGACACTAAAGCTTTAACATGCAACTTTCCGCAGGTTAGATCGCACAGACATGTAAGCAGCAGGTCATGTGTGTTAGAGCCGTGCACCGCGACACATCTGCAGGCGCCACATACCTACAACTGCTCAAGACACAGAGCAACATTTCCTCTTCTTTTTCTTTGGCTTCAGAGTTCACAAGAAATAGAATTAACTCTTAAAACATTAACAATAAATAAATATCTTTTTGAGCTCTGAAGGCTTCACTGTTTTTCTTTAACAAATAATACAAGCTGGTACGATTACCCAATCTTAATGCAAAAAACAAAATCTAGTCAAGTTAAGATGACTTGAATTAACAAAGTTTTATTTGATATATTTGATTTCACTTGACAAGTAAAATTACCTCGCCTGATTCATCAGCCGGTTTCACTTTGTGGAAACGGTCTGACCTCACAGCGTTAGAATTCACTCGACGGTAGGTGGGTACTTTTTATATTTAACTTTATTTAATAGGAAATCAGCCAGGGGCCAGATTAAAGGTCTTGGAGGGACGGAGCCGGCCCCCGGGCCGTATGTTTGACACCCTGGTCTAGTGTATTCTGATTCCTGACCTAGTGACCTGGAGAGAAATGAAATTGAGTGAAGGCACTAGGTGGCGCCAGTCTGGTTAAAAATGATCCTCCAGTGGAATAAGACTTTTTGTACTTAAATATGAAAATTTATCTTTGTACACTTAAAATCTAATGTTGCTTGAATTTATAAAAACATTTATTCCACTGGTAGATAATTTTACTTGCCAAGTTGAATCGACTCAAAGTAAAATGTTTTTAATTAGAGTCATTTTAACTTACCTAGATAGTTTTTTTTTTTTTTTTTCCAAGGAACACCCTCAAATATTGGAAATATTATATTATATTAGATTAGATTATATAAAAAATAATTGAAATAATACGACTTAAACATTGTAATAAAGTCTGCAAACTAATTCTGTGCATCGACACTGCACAGGAAAGCGTCTCATCTGAGAGAAAATATTTTGTACCAAGTTAAACAGTAGATTTCCCCTGATTGTATCTTTTACAATGGAGGTTTGTTTATTTTTATTCTAAGTGTTTACCTGTCTCCTGAACTGATGCATTTCACTGTGAGCCATGAACTCCTCAAAGTCCAAGTCTGGGCCTGTCTGAATCCTCATCCTCCGCTCAGACATCTCCTACAGAGCACACAGAGCACACAGTGGGTGACTACAGGACTAGTGTTAGAGCTTTTATTCACTCTCAAAGTTAGAAACAGGAAAACAAGTTCACGTATTTGATGATGTGTTGCCAAATCACTGTCAGGGCCCCTCCTAAACTGCATGTTTTTTTAATTATATGGTTGCATAGAACAAAATCTAGAAATAGTGAACCTGATTTACTGTCCACAATTTTTTACTTTTCCACTGCCTCTGGATTTTACATTTAGAATTCATAGTACAATCAGATTTAGGCCACGTTTATATGACGACGGTCTGAACAGAAGACGCAAAAGTGGTGTCGTGTCTTCACTTTTTATTCCATGTTTAGATGAGCGTTTATGGGAGGAAATCTGCATGCATATGGTGACGCAAAAATGTGTTGAAATTGATTGGGTATGCGTGCCATCCGACATGTTTGTTTCTGTGTACTGTGTGTGTATGTGACGTAAACGCGTACGTGACCTGAAAAGATCTGAAAAGAGTTTTGCGTCTTGGGCAGCGTAGACAGAAATACTACGACGGAGTGTATTCAACTTTTTCACTCTGGAGAATAGTTTCAGATTTTTGCATTTTTAAGCCCAAAAACGTTGTGACCGTCTAAACAAAAGGCACTTCCGATAAAATATTTGGTTGTTTTTACTTTGTCAGTAGCAGAACTTTACCAGGTTTAATCACAGCTACACAAGTTCTCCAAATTAAGCCAACACTAGAATTTAAGAGTCGTCTGCATACCACCGGTTTTAGAAACACTGATAAGAGATTTCCAGACATGCCTCAGCCACCCCAGGGCAGCAGTGGCTTCAAAAGCATCTTGATATTTCAAAAAGTGTAGCGCAAATTAGCTCAGACTGTGTGATTCTTACTGTCAAGGTCTTATATTTAGCCCTACTGTGCAGCATTTTCTCAAACGCGCCACTAAATCTGCCATGTCAGGTCACGGCAGCTTTACACCGTCATCTGAAATATTAGAGCGAGCGTGTCATTTGTGTGGAATGACTGTGAATGTGGAAAAAGCATTTGGAACGGTTGCCAATGCGCTGAGATGCCATTAAAAAAGAACATCTGCTGACTGACTGTTAGTTCATTAAAAAAACAGCGAGTTGATCTTCTTACCTCATAGTTTGGGTTGAGGAGAATGATCCTGACGTCGGTCGCGGGGCCCCAGGTTCTGTGGCTCTCCAGGACCAGGTCGTTGGAGTCCGCTTCCTCCTCAGAGCCGGCCGCCCAGATCTGACAAAAACAAATCAGGCTGGGTTAAAACAGAACAAACAAGCCAAGAGGGTTTCACACATTACTGCGCTCTGATCCAGCCCCAGTGTCACAGCAGCTTATAAAAGGTGGCTTCAGAGCGTCACTTCACTGTGATCCGGAGAGTGACTCGTGTCGTACGGCGCTGTGAAAACACCTTTAAAAGAATGTGAGACCTGAGAGACACCAGGTGAGCACAACAAAGCTTTTATCCAGGTGTGATCCAACTTCCTTAGCAACATTAATTACGAAGGGTGTTGTTACAAAATAAATGGAGTCTGAAAAACACTAATTCTGTACTAAACCAAAAAACGAAAGCAGAAAACGGCCAAAACAAAGGCGTCACATGAGTAGGTCACATTCAGACTGCAGCCTGAAGTGACCCAAATCTGATTTTTTCACCCCTACGTGACCTGTATCTGATCTTTTAATGGCTTTTTTTAACGATTTTTTTTCCAAATGTGACCCAGGCCACTTGGATATGTGCTCCTAAAACCAATACATATCCGATCTTTTGACATGCGACTTCAGTCTGAACGGTCAGGTCGCATTCATCCCACCTACACGTCAGGCTCAGAGTCTAGTCAATGGAGGGAAAGCGAGGTTAGTGAGTTAATTAATATTTGGGGGAATCGGTGTATTCAGGCCAAATTGGATGGGTCTTATCAGAAATGGGTGGATTTTGACGGTCCTGGCTCCAATGTAAAAAAAATAAAGACCCTGCGAGCCAAATACAAGGAGGCTAAAGACTCAAAGCAGCTGTGGATGTGTAACCTGTCCATTTTATGAAAAACTGGACCGTATTTTGGGAGACAAGCCCAGCGTTTAGGCGACTTCGTAAACACTGAGCATGCTTGCTGCGTTTGACGTTGTCGTGTCCTCCAATGCACATGCGGGACACTTTTGGAGCGTTTAAAGTTCACACTGGAGATCACAAACAAGTCGCATTTAATTGGAAATGTGAACAACCTCACAAAAAAAATAAATCAGATTTCACAAAAAATTCCGAACTGAGCTTTAAGCCCTGCAGTCTGAACGTGATTGACCCTTGGCAGTACAAATGCCTATAGGAGCAGGTCTTACAGTGAGAGTCTGGCCTGCGGTCAGGACACACGGGGACGGGATGTTGAAGGAGATCTCACCGGAGTCTGGATAAAGCCTCCGCACCACCCAGCCGTCCAAACACTGCTCCTGGACACACAGACGAATCACACTCTATGCAATTTCTAATAAAACCCATTTCAAGCATATGAATCTTTCTAGCGTTTTGTTGTGTCCTAAAAGCAAGTTCAGAGTTCAGATTACTAGCTAATCAGCAATGGTAATGGCAATGATTAATACAGTATTTAGGGTCAAGAATTAATATTGAAAGCCACTGTATTTGTTTTTAAGACAAGATGAAATGTCAGACTAGAAATTGTGATCATCAACAACGTGAGTGGAAAAAAAAAAAAAAAAAAAAATTCATTGTGTCATATTGCCCAACACTAAATAAACACATGTCAATAGACTAGAGATGCGCGGATGGGCTACTTTTTCATCCGCAACCGCATCGCAAAACTCATCATCCTCCCGCTATCCATTTGCAACCACAGTTTTTAACCAGTTTTCAAAACCGCACCCGCCCGCCATCCGCTCAGTCTCCTCCCATTTGCGCCGAGTTCAGAGTTTTTTATTTGAATAGTGAAACCGCCACCCGCCCGAATTTAATTAAAATATTTTTCGTCACGTCATCCGCCCGACCCGCAGTTTAGCCGCGGAGTCTGCGGCTGTATATCCGCGCATCTCTACAATAGACTCCCTTAAAAGTGCATTGTGTAAGTTTTCTGATGGAGCGTCCGTCACCTGCGCAGGTCCTGACTCGAACCAGGAAGTACGAGTACATAAGTCCTGTGCTCAGGTCTGTGCACTGGCTGCTGTGGCTCAGAGAATAAACTTTAAAGCAGCTCTGTTTGTGTACAAGTCTCTCTGTGGGCGAGGACCAAAGTTCATCTCTGACATGTTAGTGTCATATGAACCATCTCGCACTCTGAGGACTTCAAGGACCGGCCTCCTGCTGGTGCCCAGAGTCAGGACTAAACACGGGGAGACAGCATTTCAGTTTTATGCAGCTAAAACCTGGAACAGTCTTCCTGAAGATGTGAGACAAACTCTACTTTCACTCTATTAAAATCTAGGCTCAAAATGGTTCCGTTTAGCTGCGTATGACAAACATTTTCATTCTGCACTCTTCTGTGTGTCTTTTTTAATTTTATGATGACTATTTATGTTTTAATTTGTTTGTATTGTGATTTTAATGTGTTTATTATTCTGTAAAGCACTTTGTATAGCACAATTCGTACACAAAGTAATTCAAATAAACTTGCCTTGCCTTCTATGGAAACATCATTGCTCTGCCTGGAGTTTTCCACAGTATGACATTAAACATCTCTGCATTTATTCAATTACAGGGGATTTTATTGCTGAAAAATACCTCGGAAAACAGGCATTCTGACTGAGCGGGGTCAACTCTCCACAGGTGTGAACTTTTACTTGGTCTAGTTTGATCTCCATGAGGATAGAAAGGTTTAATATAATACTGTGAAACATTCCAGACAAAGCATTAACATCTCCATGCAGGAAAGTATTTGATGTGCGTACCCTCCACCAGAAAAGTTACACAAAGCACCTTTAAGACAGAACCTGCATTAAATCAATTCTATGTGCATATTTTGCTATTGAAATCCTGCCAGACTTCTTACCATCTCCGAGTTATTCTTTAACCTGATGAACCTGCCCTGTGTGTCCACTTCGCTCACGCTCACAGATCCACTCTCGGTCGAGCAGGAGGACATTTTGGAGGCCGGGGAGCTGCCCGTAGGACCCTCGTGCTTCCTCTTCCTGCCCCTCAGCCTCGGCCGCTCCTCGTGGGTGCGGGACACTGCGGTGCGCTGGGACGGGCTCGGGGACAGCTTCAGCCTGTGGGGCAAATACGAAGAGGTCAAGCCAGGCTCCATAATCCATCCATAATGCATTTTTCTGCCGCTACTCTGAAAAATCCAGAGTTTCCTGGTTTAAAAATCATATATTACACTGAGTTTTAGTCATGTTGGAATGTTATTATCTCATTAAAAACATAACCAGAGTTTTGTTTCATTCACATGTTTGAGTAACCATTTAAAATGAGTCTGTCTACATCTCCAAAGCTCAAAAAAATGCTCTGGTCCACCTTGTGATGTCATGAAGCAGTAGTTTAACTTAATGACTACCTTTTACCTTTTTGCTCAATAGAGATTGGAAATTCCAGAGCAGAAATTATCCAAATGATTCTAGTGAAGATATATGGAGTTTAAAAACGCAGTGGAGCACTTCCTGTATCACCACATGACATCAGAAGGTGGAACAGAGTGTTTTCCGTTTGAGAGAAGAACTCAGCTTTAATATGCAGGTTTGTGCGTTAAACATGTGTGAATGAAACAAAACACAACTCTAGGTTTGTGATAAGGAAACAACATTTTAACATTGATCAGAAAATAGCCTAATAAGATCATTTAAGATAAAGGCTCTTCATATTCTGTAGTGTGTTGTAAATGCAGAGAATTAAGAAAAATAAATTGACACTTTGAAGCTTTTTGCATTGGATTTTGTTGAAGCAACTGTCAGACTCATACCAAGAATAATGGGAAAAAAAATAACTTCCTGACACTGTCCCAAACAGCTGATTCCCCGACATGGTGCATTACGTACATTTACACAATCGGTCAAAAGTTTAAGAACGCCCTAATTTTTCCAGTTATTTATTGCAATTCAAGTCGTGCAAGTCCAATGAAGAGCTTGAAATGGTATAAGGGTAAAAACTGAACAGACAGAGGTTAAAAGAAGAGATAAAATATAATAAAACACAAGTCCAAGCTCTGCCAAAACTACCTCAGGAAAGAACAACAAGATGATAAAACTTGAAAACATGGAGTGTCCAGCACAGTCTCCAGACTTAAACCCCATCGAGCTGGTTTGGGATGAACTGGACAGAAGAGTGAAAGTCAAGAAACCTACAAGTGCCACACATTTATGGGAACTTCTGCTGCAGACTTGGGAAGAACTTTCTGAAGAATATTTGATTTCTATTGCAAAAAGAACGAGCCACGAGTGTGTTCAGCTGTTATATCTGCCAAAGGTGGACACTTTCATGAATCAAAAGTTTAGAATACGTTTTGGTCTATAAACTTTTGGCCGGTAGTGTAAATACAAAAAGGAGAGATTAATATGAACCATGTGGAAACAACAGCATGAGACAATAGTTACTATATCTATGCTCTATATTCAGTATCAGTTGCAGCAGAGATAAAGTGGGCAGGGCAGATGCTCAACGCTGCATGGCATTTGTGATAAGCCACTCCCATAGCTTCTGTCTGACTGAAGTGTGGCTGCAAATATCCGTCTGCAGCCCTTCAGACTTCAGACTCTGGCAAGTGTCTTTCCCAGGAACGCAGCAGAAGTACGCACATGTCAGAACAGAGGTTAAAGTGAAAACTTTTGGATAGTGGAAATGTTCTAGTCACTGTCATGGGTGCCCTCTGTGGATTAATATGTAACAAGAATACCAATACTTAAAAATATTTTGGCTTTTGAGTACCACCAGATCTAATCCAGGTCTATAACAGGATTATACCAGGTCTAAACTAGATCTAAATGGGATTACATTATTACATTAAAAGGGCAGTGTGTAACTTTGCTGGTGGAGGGTCCTTCAAATGCCTTTCTCAGTGGAGTGTTGTTGCTTTGTCTGGAATGTTTCACAGTATGGCATTACATTTTTCTATCTTCATGGAGACCAAACCAGACGTCAGAAGTTAGAGGTCAGATCTGCAGAGAGGAAACCCGACTCACCTAAAAAAAATCAGGCATTGTGATTGTATTTTTGATGTATAAAACCACCTGTAATTGGCATTAAACAGCTCTACTTTACATTTATTCATACTGTGGAACATTCCAGGCAGGGCAATGACACATCCATAGAAAGAAGCAAGTGACTGACCCCCAACCAAACCTGTGTAACTACACAGTGCACCTTTAACTCTTGGATAAACATATGACATGGCCAAAAAAAATGCATTTTTATCACAGTATTACTCAGTCAGTCCTATACCTCAGAATGTTTCACGGATTTTATTTTTAATGCAATTTCGCATGTTTTTTGTTTTTTTTTAAACAGCATATGAACCTGCATTGTGTTACTCCCCCTGCGTCCTGATTGGCTAAGGGATTATAGACCATTATCAATCAGTCTCCTCTGTGCCGTGTCTCCTGTACAGAACAGAATGCACTCAGTTTGTTAAATTTACATAAAGGTTCGATCTCTAGCAGTGTGATTCTGAAGTGCAGTATGTTTGCAAGTTTTCTCCCCGACAAAACGTTCTGCACCGACAAAGGCTCCTGCGGTCGCGCCCAAAAGGGAGAGGAAGATGCAAACCATCGCACAAAAATTTGACTTCTGGACATGCCAGAAGTTACGCAGCTGTAAGGCGCCATTACGGAATAAATTAATCTTCGGTTCGTTACATAAAGGAGGAAAATAACAAAAGGACGACAGCAGCAATAAATTTTAAGAAGGATGCAAAAAGGGTTGTAACTGTCCTGTGTGAGAAAAGTGTATAAAGTGTAGTGAGGGGTTTTACAGCCTTAAAACTGATATAATAATTGTAAAAAATAAAGCTGACAACTATTGCGGGTTTTATTTAGAACATAAGCCCCGCAGTAAATGAGGGATCTCTATAATGCAGCCTTGAGAAGCTTATCAATCTTGTTAAGTGCTACATAAAAATAAAACTCTTGTGTCCTTAGGTTCACCTCTGCTCCTCCACCTCCAGCATCTTCCTGTAGGCGTTGATCTCCATGTCCAGAGCCAGCTTTGTGTCCAGGAGATGCTCGTAGTCCTCCAGCTGAGAGAACATCTGACTCCTCAGGCCCAGCATCTCCTGCTCTTTCGCGTTGAGCCGCTCCTGCCACACCTGTCGCTCCCTGTCCAGGGTCCGCTCCAGCTCCTGCACGCGGCTCTCCAGTGACATTTTCTAAACACAAAACACACGAGCAGGGACAGCTCAGAGGGATGCAGCAAAGTTTACAGGTTCAAACTAGGGTGAGGTAATCCTTGTCCTGGTTTGAGCCTAGTTTTGTTCCAGCGTAGACTTGGTTTGGTCCTGTTCTAGTATCTTTATTTCATGACTCAAACTGCAAAACAAAATGAACCTGACTCATGACTGTGCAAGAGCCACCCTGTAATTTTTACTTGTTGTCTTGAAAAACATGCATTTAAACTTTTATTGCCACAAATTAATTCACATCAGCAGTGTCCTAAGATCAGACCCTCACACAATGTATACATTTACTGCACGTTAGGGTAAGTGTCTTATTTGAAAAAGTCAATAATTGGACCCACCTCTTTTCAAAATTTGACACATTTAGCTGTAGTTGAGCCGGTAACAGCTCCATTGTATAAACTTTGTCTCATTTTTGATACCCACTGATCAACAGTCAGTAGATCGTGATCATTTTTCTTGCAGTCATCAGAAGAAAATGCAACAGAAAGCACTGATCATGAGAGACACCACCAGGAAACGTATCAAGGGTCCAACAAGAGGTCAACAGCCAATATATTTTTGTAGAACATCTTTAACATCAACCCAGAAACGTATATTGGGGCAGTTTGGTCACCCACAAGTCCACAATTTCAAAACATGCATTCTTAGCCTTAGTGGGCTCACTTTGATAGAGTCACCCACTTGTTTCCATGGATTTATATAGTGCATTATTGGACACTCAGAGACACTACGCTGCATAAATCCTTCACTCCACACTTGGTGGTTCTAAGCTATTTTTGTCCTGGGACAGACTGATGCAAACAAGCACACCAAACTACAGAGGATTTTCAGACAACATGAGAACCCAGTCTATTTCAAAACTGCAAACAATTTAGGACAGAAACTGGTCCACCCAAAGGACAAAACACAGAGCGACAAACAAAGCAATGTGATCTACTCCATTCAGTGTAGTGAAAACTGCAGTGAGCGTGACGCTGGAGAAACTAAACAGCGATGGTAAGAGGATGTACCAACACAGACGAGAGAGCAACACAGGACCACAGTCTGCTGTTCATCTCCACCTAAAAGCCACGGGCCACTCTTTTGAAGACGGTGAGGTACAGATCTTAGCCAGAGAAAAGAATTGGTTTGAGAGGGCAGTTAAAGAAGCTGTTTATGTTAAAGAATCCACCTTTAAACAGAAACCATCTATCTCCTATTTACAACTCCATCCTCAAATCTAAATCAAAACAAACAAGAGAACAATAGGGATAACCAGGTCAGGCCCAGAGGTGTGAAAGCTCCATTAATGGCCCTGAACGATTCTGCTAATATGACCCCACACTCAGCGCAAGTTCAATAGGCCGAGCTAAATGTCAGAATAATTTTATTATCCCATATTTGCTAAATACTTGTGTGATATTCTAGGCCTATGAGTTAACCATTTATGTACTACAATTCTTTGATTTATAATGTACCAATCACTTGTCACTTGTTGAATAACCTCTGTGTGTTTGACAACTGTGTGCAGTGACCTATCGCTCTAGTGAACCTCGAGATGATTCCTCACATGAAGCCAACTTCCACTGTCACACATGCAAGAGTTATGATGGTGTCTGACCATAACTAAGGCACCTCCTGTTGTTAATCTATTTATGTGTTTATACTATGCTTAGCTGCATCAGTTTCTTATTATGTCTTTGCTGGTTTCCCCTTCCCCTTGAGAATTATCATTCTGTAACTAGGGCCTCCTAATGAAATAAAAAGAGGAGAACGGCCTTGAGTCATCAGAACGTGTGGAGACTGTTGGTTTTGATGCCCACTCTCTGCCCGTTCTCCTCATGAGTAAAACTGAATTAATCTCTTGTCTTTCTTCTTGTTTTTAATGTTTAGATAAACCTAACACTAACTAACAGAAACAGTAAACAAGTAGGTGTGTTATTTTCAGAGTAGATAGTTAGCTCCTCCCTGCAGACGGATATAAGTCAGTGTCCACCAGCATTCGACCAGAACTGAAGAAGCAGTTTGGATGAGCTGCGAAACGTATTCGACCAAAATAAACTTTTGTCCAGCTGACAAATTGAATTTCTCCTTTGCCATGGAGTCTACCTGGACGACAGAGGGATTTTTCACAAGTCTTACCAAAGGACACTTTCTACTAGTTTCCACTAGAGCGGGGGTCTCCAACTTTGTTCCTCTGGTGAGCTACCTTCACAAAACAAAAATGCCAGAGAGCTCACAGGAAATAAAGTACACATAAGACTTAGATGGGGTACAGTTAGATAAATAATGATTAATGTTTCATGTTTTATTTATGAATGATGGATTTACAATAATAGGCATTTAATTCATCCAATTTGAGTTATTTTGGTTATTCAATACATGTAATTCAGCAATCCCTTGGTGAGCCACTTGGAAGGAGCTGGAGAGCTACAGGTTGGAGACCCCTGCACTAGAGCTGCTGTGACATCTGGTATTTCCCACTTCTCTCCAAGTACCGACCACACCCCGCCTTGTTTAGCTTCCGGTATCTGACAAGATCAGGCAATAGCAATTTCAGATGTTTAATTCCATACTTTTATGTATTACAGGCACAGCAGTCTCCATGGAAACGAGCGGGTGGGAAAACCCTCAACCACAAAAGTGACACAGTGCACCTTTAAAAAAAAAAAACTATTGCATGCTTTCTCACGATTGTCCTAGATATATTTTATTTATTATTTGTTTCCTCATGTTTGATGCATCGGGGTTTGAACAGGGTGGAGCCAGTCAGTCACAGGATATGAGGACGTTTTAAATCGCTCTGGGCAAAAAATAGATTCTGATTATTTGCACAGAGGGAGAAAAGCAGTGACCCCGGTGTGACAGGGAGGACAGACTTACCTCTTTCTGGTAGACCTGGAGCTGTGAGCTGAGCGTCTCCAGTCGTAGATTGGCGTTTTCCAGTTCATCTTTAACGGCAGAGACGGTGTTGGTTTTGTCTTGTGCCGTCTGCTGGGCCTGCTGCAACTGGAGTCCAAAACACACAAACATGAGGAGAAAACTTATCAAATATAGGAAACAAATGAGTAATGACCGATATGGAACAGCTCTAGATTAATAATAAGGCTGTTGTGGTATATAAATTCAAGACCCAAGATTTTTATTGTCATTGTCATTTCATTTAGGTCATCAAACACTGCACAGTTTTGAAGTACAAAAACTAGAGCTGTTGTAAAAAACTCCAAGCCTCTGTGTCTCTGTCTTGGTCCACTTTTCAAACTAATTTGCAATACTAGCCTGTACTGTAACGTGTACATGAGAAATATTAATGTTTTTAGTTATTATACAGAACGTTTTGAGCTCCTTTACTGTTCCAGACAATCATAATTATTCATATTATGTCAAACTCGACACATTTTATCAGGTGGTCATTCCATTTCAGGACCATGTTTCAATACATGCACCAATGAGATCTCCAACGACCACATAAAATAAAAGACTGGACGTTCTGAGGCTACGTTTATATGATGACGGTCTGAACAGAAGATGCTAAAGCGGTGTCGCGTCTTCACTTTTTATTCCGCGTTTAGGTGAGGGTTTTCGGGAGGAAATCTGCGTGAATACGGTGACGCAAAAGTGTGTGGAAGTCGATTGGGTATGGGGGCGGTAGTGAAGCTAGGTGGCGATGTATGTGACGTAAAAGCGTACGCAGCGTGAGCAGATCTGACCAAAATTTTGCGTCTGGGGCAGTACGGACGGAAACACTACAGCGGAGAGGATTCAACTTTTCCACTCTGGAGGGTGGTTTCAGATTTTTGAGTTTTTAAGCCCCAAAAAGGCACTTCTGATAAAAAATATTTTGCAGTTTTTACCCACAAGTGTTCACGTGTAAACAAGCCCTGAATATAAACAAGACAGTTTCCAAAGGGCTTCACATAGCAAAGTAAATTATTTAAAGCAGAATTATGTTCAGAAACTAACATAATTAAGGAACTAATAGAAACTATTACATAAAAATAGTAAGGTCAATGAATACAAATAACATCAATAATTAAAAGCAGTACAAAAAAGAATAATAGATTTAAAAAAGCGCCCCTTTAGACATAAATCAGGGCTAAACCAGCTTTTAATAGGACACCACTGCGTTATATGACTCCAAATAAAGCAAAAATTAAACTGCAAAGTGCCTTGTGTACCAGCAGAATTACCTCTTGTAACTCAGTTTACAAAAGACTGAACCAATGCATCATCATTATCCCCCCGTCACAAACCCCTCAGAGCCTGGTGGTCCTGTACCTTGGAGCTGAAGGTCTTGTCCAGGTCGTCTTTGTACTGCTGGAGCTGGTTCTCGTGGTCCTGTCTGAGCTGCTGCATGGCGTCGGCCAGTTTAGACTCAAACTCTCCGCGCCGCGCCATCTCCACCTCCAGCAGCCGGCTCTCACTGCGACTGCGGATCTCCTGGGTCTCCTACGGGCGATAAAACGAACATCATGAATGTATTATTTACAACATTTTACAGAGACGCATTACTATACCATTACAGCAAATGTTTCTATTGTTTACATATGACAGAATGCCTCCAGCTTGTCTGAGAAGGCGTTGCTTTGCCTGGAATGTTCCACAGTGCGGCATTAAACTTCCATTTTGCATTCATCCACTTAGTAGGTATAACTTCCATCCATCCATTTTCTTCCACTTATCCGGGGCCGGGTTGTACTTAGACCAACTTTGTCCGGGAAAAACATGCATTCTAACAGTGAGCGGGGTCACCTCTCCACAGATCTGACCCGTAACTCGGCCTGGTGGCACCACACGTTTGACTGATTGGCAAGTTTAATGCCGTACTGTGGAGCATTTCCAGCAAATAAATAACATCTCAATGGAGGTAAACAGATACATACAGGCGGATCTTCCACCAAAAAACTACATAGTGCACGTTAATTTTAATATTTTACAAAACCAAAACAAAACTAGACAAACAACAAATAAATTTTAGTACAGTATCAGTACCTGTTCAAAGTATTTATAGTTTCAATGCAAGCTCTATTATCAGCTTTATTATCAATTTAAATCAGTCTCAGTTTTCGACAACCCTGGTTCTCAGTCTCCAAAACCCCTTTTCTGAGCGACAGAAGAAACTCAAATGAAAAACATTGGTCATTACCTGTTCACTGAGGTTCTTCTGAAAGGCCAGCTGCTCTTTGGCCGTCTGGAGCTGGTTTTCCAGATCGATGCGCTGCACTATCTCTGAGCTCAGTTTGTTCTTATTATCTGATAGTTCCCCCTCTACCTGGCAACACACACAACAACAAGATGTACAGTTTTATACAAATGTTGAATCAATTTAATTCTAACTAACAACAAATGGTTTCAAGGATGCTTCACCAGAGAGATCAAGAATAAATTTAACGTGCAAACAAAGAAGTTGTGAGAAAAAAGGCCGATTCCATCAATACGCAGACTAATCTAAGGTTAGTCCAGGCTCCAGTCTGTCCTCTGTCCGTAAAGGCGATCTTGTGATCTAGAACAGAGTTAAGATTTAGGAGGAAGAAGTTAAACTATTATTTTGTTTTTACAATTGAAGTCACAACCTGAGGCTACGTTTACATGATGACGATCTGAACAGAAGACGCGAAAGTGGCATCGCATATTCACTTTTTATTCCGCGTTTAGACGAGCGTTTTCAGGAGGAAATCTGCGTGCAAACAGTGATGCAAAAATGTGTGTAATTCGATTGGGTATGTTTGTACTTAAAGCAACAAGAGCATCTTTGGACATATGGAACTTTTCACGCCACGCATTTTCATCAGCTTCTCCTTCCACAAAGTTGTCCCACCATCGACTGGTTCTCCGCGTCTCGTCCATATCCGTCCGGCTCACTTGCGACGAACTAGTGCATCCAGAATTTGACAGAGGTGATTGCAGATCCTTCTCTGTTCACTAATTGTCTCTCTGGAGATTCTGTACATTTGTTGGGAGCCTCCTGTAAGTTTATTAGAGCTGCCAGAGCAGGTTGAAGGTCCGAAACATGGAAATGATCTGACGTGTTTGTTTCTGTGTACTGTTTGTACGTGACGTGAGCAGATCTGACCAGAGTTTTGCATCTTGGGCAGTGAAGACAGAAACGTCACAGTGGAGCATATTCAACTTTTCCACTCTGGAGGTGGTTTCAGATTTTTTTTTTTTTTCATTTTTAAGCCCCAAAAACGCCGTCACCGTCTAAACGAAAGGCACTTCCGATAAAATATTTTGTTTTTACCCGCAAGCGTTCTCGTGTAAACAGGCCCTTAGACAAAAACTGACTCATGGTACATATTTTACATTAAGAACAAATGAAGAAATGGGTTGTGCTTTAACATTTGTCACTTTAACATTTGTCACAATCCACTAGCAACTGTGAAAAGCCTTATTATACTAGTTTAAGTATATAGTCCGTGGTGTTTATGTTCGGAAAACTAATTTTGAAAGACATTTTTATATAAAAAAAAAAAAATGTGAAGACCTAAAATTGTCATAATTGTCACATCACAGAGCCATACGTTAAACTCATCCTTTTTGCTTGGTAACTATAAATTTAGAGCGATGACTAAAACCCTGCGTACAGTTATGACATAAGAATAACACGCTAAGAGGAAGTTTAAGTCTGTTCATACATTTCTGAGCTGGTCCAGGAGATAGGACACCTGCTCCTCCAGTCTGTTTTTGGCCGACAGCAGTTTTGACACCTCAGCTTCTCTGGAGTTCAGGGCTGCTTCTGCTTTCCTCCACTGGGACAGAGCGCTGGTCAGTTCCCCCTCACTCTTCTGGTGCCTAAGGACAGGGCACAAGCACGGGCAAGGTCAAAGTCAAACTTATAAAGCACATTAGTTTAGAGGACAGAATAAACTACAGTCGATATAAAAGACACAAAATGACAATACTAAATGCTAAAGAGTGAGAATAAAAATAGAAATACAATAAAACCTGCTCAGCTTGTATTAAAAGCCAGTGAGGACAGAAGACTTTAGCAAACAAACAGCAATGAAAAGTTTCCATGTATTAAACTGTTCAATTAATAAAGGCTCAACCCAGTAGCCAGACTGGAGCCACCTAGTGCCTCCGCTCAATTTAATTTCTCTCCAGCGACTAAGTCAGGAATCAAAATACAATAGACAGTTCGCAAAACCCCAGAAGTGCAAGTTCGGTCATCAGCCAATCAGTGAAGCGTGATATATTCAGTGTTGTCAATGATTCTTGAGATCGAGGATTTAAAGCCGGAACAAAGAGAATGTTTGGTGAATTTCATCAAGGGGAAAGACGTTATTGCCCTTCTGCCTACAGGATTTGGGAAAAGCTTAATATACCAGTTAGTCCCATTTAGCGGCACATTACATACGCCACGACCAAATAGCAGCAATTGGATAAATGATAAATTTATGATATTATGATGAATTTATGAATTAATGATTTGTGGCCGTACCAGTTTGTCAAAGCCTGATCCCGTCAGACCTCAGAAGCTAAGTAGAACTGGGCCTGGTTAGTATTTGGATGGGAGACAACTGGGAAAATCAGGTGTCACGGGGGGGGCGGCAATCGTAAAAAACTGTTGTGTCTTTAGGCAAGGCACTTCACCCTCGTTGCCTAGTATGAAAGTGGTGTGTGCGTGAGTGATGGTGGTGGTCGGAGGGGCCGATGGTGCAGATTGGCAGCCTCGCTTCAGTCAGTCTGCTCCAGGGCAGCTGTGGCTATAGTAGTAGCAGTTTACCACCACCGGGTATGGAGTGAATGAACAATGCTCTGTAAAGTGTCTGAGTGTCCAAAAAAGCGTCATATAAAACTGATGCATTATTATTATTATCATCATTATTAAAAAGTACCCACCGACCGTCGAGCGAACGAACCCTAAGGCTGCGAGGTCAGACGGTTTCTACAAAGTGAAACGGCGGATGGATCAGACTATCAACCCAGTGTTCAGGGAAAGAACAAGGCCAAAATGTCTAAGTTGCATGAGGAAAATAATGTTCTACAGTATGGCTTTTAGGTTAATGTACATTTATTCACTTACAGGCGTTTTTATTCCTTTAAAATACTTTGAAAAACATAAACCTTAAACTTTGTCTGGTTACATCTCCTGCTTGATACGGATACATTTACTGGGACACTGTGGAACACTCCAGGCCAAACAAAAGCAACTTCCTGGAGACAAGAAGGTGGCAGACTCTCCAGAAAAGTTACAGAGTGCACCTTTAAACTAGTGTATGTGTTGGAATATAGAACAAGAAGCCCAAGAGTGGAACAGTCTCTAGTTTGTACACAGTTTTATTCTCAGTCAACACTAAAAACACCATAGATCAGGGGTGTCAAACTCATTTTGGTCCAGGGGCCATATCCAACCTACTTTGATCCCAAAGGGGCCGGATCAGAAAACTCATGTCATATAAACCCCAAAAATAACAATAAGTTCAAATATTTGTGCAGAGAAACACAAATCTATTACAGAAATCTTTTTTAATTGATGAACTCTTTCTTATTATAAGTTTATAATATTATGAACAACCTGAAACTTTAAGAAAAATTAAATTTCAACACAATGTTTTAACATTAACTTGTATGCAAACAGGAATAAGTAATTTTTTCTTGGAAAATCCTGCACTCACTGTCCACTTTTCTCATTTTGGACATTTTTCTGATGAGGGTGTCACGGTCAACAGTCAAAACGATCGTCGTTTAAGAGCGTTTGGAAAGAGACAAGTCTTCATTTGTGCTGCTCTGGTGGGAGGGGCCACGTACAGAGACGCTGGAGACGCTGCTGTGCTAAGCGGCGCAGAAAAGTACCAATATTTTAATAGAAAATATAATTAAAATATTTTAGTAGAAAATCACCCAAGGGCCACATTAAAGGTCTTGGAGGGCCGGATCTGGCCCCCGGGCCTTATGTTTGACACCTGTGCCATAGATGATTAAAAACTAAACTAAAAACTAGAGTAAAAACACACTTCATGGACTACAGAGTGTTGACTTTGCTTGACAGTTTTGCCCCACAGGTGATGAGGGTCAAACGCAGAAATGATAAAGCCCTACAATGCCAAATTCAATGACTTGCTCCAGGCTTTCCAACTTTGTTTATTGATTTCTCCTTAACTGACCTGGTGTGCAGCTTCTTGTTCTCACTTGAGATGTTCCCAAGCTCTATCTGGAGTCGGGCCCTTTCGTTCGCGACACTGTCCAGCGTCTTCCTCACGTCGGCCAGTTCCTCTTCGTACAAGCGGCGCATGTTTCCCATCTCCCGGCCCTTGGACTCATCGCTCTCCTCCAGGCGGACGAGCAGCGTGGAGCGCTCAGACTCGAGGTCCTGCACCCGCTGGATGTAGTTGGCGAGGCGGTCATTGAGGCTGCGCAGCTCGTCTTTCTCCTGGAGCCGGGACAGACGCGTGGGGCTCGTGCTGCTGACGGCGGAGGAGGGGGTCATGACGCGGCCGGAGGAGCGCGTGCTGCGGCCACTGCGGGTCCCGGTGGTCAGGGGCGTGGAGGCAGCGGAGGCCATGACTGCGCACAGGCGGCGGGAGGACTTCCACACGGAGTTTGGACCGCGCGCAACGATACGACAATCCAGACAGAAAGGAGCGGGTCAGTTCAAGCGCGACGAGGAAAAGAGCGCGGTCTCAGCTCCACCTGCTCCTCCTCGAGGTTTAACCAAAAAGAGCCACAGCTGGAACTAATGACTTGTAGTAACGCAGCGCAGACACGAGCGTCAAGTCACCCGCACTGAGCACGAGCGCTTCCGGACGGTCAACCTGCAGTACACCGCGACACACTGAAAATAAAACACGTCCTGTCCTGACAAACATCATATCATTATTGCACTGTTTTCCAATGTATATAGCTGAGATTTTATATTTTATGACTTATTTTTCTATTTTATTTTGACTTGTACATTTACATAATTGTGTCTTATTTATTTATCTCTTGTTATCTTTTTGTTACTTATAAAAAAAAAAAAAACAACAAACAAACAAAAAAACAATACCTAGGTAAGTTAAAATGACTTAAATTAAAAACATTTTACTTTATTTGAGTAGATTCAACTTGACAAATAAGATTACAATCTACCAATACCATAATAACTTTATTTATAAGCACTTTAAAAACTTTACAGGAGGCCAAAGTGCTGTACACAAACACAGGACAGACAATGGCAATCGCAGTAGAAGAAAAAAACATAAAAAACAGTAAAATACTCAACAAGAAATATACATATCACTTATTAAAAGCCGGTGAAAAAAGGTACGTTTTTAGGAGTGATTTAAAAACAGGTACAGACTCGGCCTCTAATCTCTAGTGGCGACTGGTTCCACAGCCGAGGGGCAGAAACAGAAACCGCACGGTCCCCACAAAGTTTACGTTTAGTTTTTGGGACGGCGAGCTGGAGACCTGAGAGTACTACACATAAGGGTGGATCAAGTCAGTGAGGTAGGAGGGCGCTAGGCCGTGCAAACACTTAAAAGTAAATAAAATAATTTTAAAATCGACTCTAAAAGACACGGGGAGCCAATGGAGAGAAGCTAAAATGCAATATCTGCAAGATCTACAATATGTTACGGATCTTTAGGCACAGAAATGATTTAGGTTGTCTTTTCCACAGCGGATATTTATTATGAAGCCACAAAAAAAAGTCAAACCGGCTACAACAGTCCCGCTCTTATCCCGTGCCTAAAATAAACAAAAAAAAATAAACCACTCCAGTCTAGTCCAAGGCACACATACAAAACCAGTGTGGGACGTTCAAATGCACCTCGTAAAAACAACAGTGTTCAGAATTTAAAATAATAACACCATAAAACAGTAGGAGGTGTCAGTGAACCTCAAAACAATTAATGTTTACATTCATTCACAACAATCATGTGTAACTGTAAATTAATTAATCAAGTCTCTCACAAATAGAGTAAGTGTGTGTTTTTCTTAATTCAAGCAACATTTAATTTTGTTTCTTATTTCAAGTGGAAAAAGTTGTTGTTTTCCTTATTTTAAGTGTAGCAAGATGTATTTTCATATTTTCAAGTACAAAAAGTTTGTAATACATATATAATAAATAATAAATATAATAAAGTAGATCATTTTACTTGTCAAGTGGAATTTACTTAATTTTCTTAATTCAAGTCATCTTAACTTGGCTATTTTGTTTTTGCAGTGTAGCATTTATATATTTTTACTCTTTGTTATTATGGTATTATCCAATGTACATTGACAATGCAAACACATCATTTTTTAATTTTTGGAAATATGTAAAGAATAGGGGTGCGTTAACATAAGTTTTTTTTTTTCTTCTTCCCACTCCTTTTTGAGAAATGTGCTTCTCTGTTGTTTACAGTGTATATGTAGCATGTGTATGATTATTGTTTCTCTCTTGGCACAAACTCAAAAACAAATCAAATCAAACATTATATTGTGATGTGTGAGCTACTGTGTCCAAATCATTTCCCTTGTGGATCAATAAAGTTTGTCTACGTCTGAGTCTAAAAAATGAGAAAGTGGTGTATTCTGTTCCTAAAATGAAAGCGGTCCACTGGTCGCCTGATTCATGAGCCGGTTTCACTTCGTTGAAACGGTCTGACCTCGTTCGTTCGCTCGACCGTAGGCACGTACTGTTTTTTTTTATTAAACAAATCGCTGCTATTTAGTCGTGACGTATATTAATGCACCAAATCCCGTAATAAGAAGGGGAATAACGTCTTTCCCCTTGATAAAATTCACCAAACATTCTCTTTGTTCTGGTTTTAAATCCTCGATCTCGGGAATCATTGCCAACTCTGAATGTCTGGCTTTGTCTACATCCATCTCGACCGCTTTATTTACTGTTGTGCTGTTCCACAAAAAGGACCCAGACAGACACTTGAGTTTAATGTCATAGCCTCACAACTCTTCTCTGATTGGCCGGTGTGCGGTCTACAACTTTCGAGGTTCTTGCAAACCGTCTAGTGCATGTATGAAGTTGAGCAGAGGCAGGTGCCGGCCTGGTTAACCCATTGCCCTCTACACTGTAAAAACTAAACTCTAGCCAAGTTAAAATGACTTGAATAAAGAAAGTTTTATCATGATTTGAGACAGTCTGAGTAAAAGTAAAAAGTAAAAAAGTAAAAAAAAAACTAAAAAAAAGAGTTTTTGTACTTAAAATATGAAAAAAAGTTGAATTTTGCTTGAAGTAAGAAAACACTTTTTCCACTGCTAGACAATTTGACTTGTCAAGTTGAATTTACTCAAATAAATTAAAATGTTCTTAAGTCATTTTAACTTGTGGAGACACTGGTGGTCTTTTCTGTATACATTATAACATGCATTTAAATTTTTATTCTTCTTATTTTTGTATATACTTACTCACTATGAACTAGGTGTGTGCAAAAATATCGGAATATCGATATATCGTATCGTTTAATGTGATGATACAGTATCGATATCGTGGGCTGTTGTATCGATATGTCACCAAGAGTATTTTTAGGTGTGTTTTACTAAATTATTTTGTTACAGAGCTACAGTTTTGTTGCTTGTTTAGTGGAAGGAAACTCATTTATGCGACACATTTGACATTTTTTACTGTTTTGACGATTAAAATGTTTGTGTTTCATTTGAACTTTGCACAAGAAGTGATTTAACAAAGACTTTTACTGTCACAGCCATGATTTAGCCTTTTATTTTTTATTGAACCGAATCGATTTGAAATATATCATATCGAATCGAAAGTGCACTGTATCGAGATATGGATCGTATCGTGGCTTGAGTATCGAGGTATGTATCATATCGGCAACTTCTTAATGATACCCAGCCCTAACATGAACCAGATATTATGTGTTCTTAATAAAGATTGAACTGAACTGAATTAACTTTCCATATATATTGTTTTTTGCAATGTATATTTCTTTTATCGTTTTTTCTATTTAAATTGCAGATCATGTAGAGTATTTGTAGTTTGTGTTTTATTTTGAAGGGCAGCTCTCTCCGGTTCGTCGTGCCCTCGTGTCGCTTGACAAAGAGAAGTTCCCTGATGTAGGAATCAGCTGATTTCGGATGACTGTCCAGCTGATGTCATACGCCACAGATAAAACAACCACATTTTTACACACCTTCATAATTCCAAGCATGTATCTTAATCTCAACAATAACTTTTTAACGTTTTGAGTTTGTATAAGCGTGCTAAAATTATAAACAGCCTAAAATAACTTAGTCCAGTAATGGAAAATGCAACCAGCAGATGGCAGCATATCTCCATCCCCAAAAACACAACTCCACGCTCCACTCTCACGTCAACTAATCCGATATCCTCCTCACTGCACCGACGAATCTCCATCCATCCATCCATCCCTCCATTTTCTTCAGCTTTAACCCCGGCCTTGTCACAGAAACATTCGTCTTACCTCCGCCTTCACGCACTTCTTCTTCTTCTGAGCTGTTCCCAGGCCCTACCAGAAAGTTATTCATCGATTTATTTCGCACCGCACCCCAAAGCGAGTCCCAAGTTTGCGGATTTTGTTCGCTTTCAGTCGTAAAAAACTTTCAGATTCTGGGCGAGAGAACCCCCTGCAGTGCGAAGTGGAGAAGTAAGCAGCGGCTCTACTCCAAGCTCTTCCGATAAATCTCTTGTTTGGTTTTCCTCTAGGCTTTCGATTTGCTTCTAAACGCTGTAAAAACTTCTAAACTTCTAAACTCTGAGTCCTTGGGGTGTTTCTCTATCCATCCCTGTCCCTGTCTTAATCTCCAAAACATCTTTCTGTCGCTTCAGGGAGGACTATCCATTCCTGTCCTGGTTTAGCCCTGGTCCAGTCCTGTTCTAGTCCTGGTTCAGTCCTGTTTTAGTCCTGGTTCAGTTCTGGTTCAATCCTGGTTTAATCCTGTTTTAATTGTGGTTCAGTCCTTTTTTGGTCCTGGTTCAGTCCTAGTTTAGTCCTGTTTTAGTTTTGGTTGAGTTCTGGTTCAGTCCTGGTTCAGTCTTGGTTCAGACCTGGTTCAGTCCTGGTGTAGTCCTGTTTTAGTCCTGGTTCAGTCCTGGTTCAGTCCTGTTTTAGTCCTGGTTCAGTTTTAGTCCTGATTCAGTCCTGGTTCAGTTCTGGTTCAGTCCTGGTTCAGTCCTGATTTAGTCCCATTTTAGTCCTGGTTCAGTCCTGGTTTAGTCCCATTTTAGTCCTGTTTTAGTCCTGGTTCAGTCCTAGTTCAGTCCTGGTTTAGTCCCATTTTAGTCCTGTTTTTAGTCCTGTTTTAGTCCTGGTTCAGTCCTGTTTTTATCCTGGTTTAGTCCTGTTTTATTCCTGTTTTAATCCCGTTTTAGTCCTGTTTTAGTCCTGGTTTAGTCCTGATTTAGTTCAATTTTAGTCCTGGTTTAGTTCCATTTTAGTCCCGTTTTAATCCTGTTTTAGTCCTGTTTTAGTCCTGGTTCAGTCCTGTTTTTATCCTGGTTTAGTCCCGTTTTAGTCCCGTTTTAGTCCTGGTTGAGTCCTGGTTCAGTCCTAGTTCAGTCCTGGTTCAGTCCTGTTTTAGTCTTGGTTTAGTCCTGGTTGAGTCCTGGTTCAGTCCTAGTTCAGTCCTGGTTCAGTCCTGTTTTAGTCTAAAACATAAATCATTTTCCATTTTCTCCCTTTGTTTTTGGAGACAAATAATGCAGAAAATAGTTTATTCATTTTCAATTTTTACTTTTATTTTGAAAAACGTATGAACGAATAACACACATTTATTGATCTATCACCCTTGCATCTATTCAACTACAAATGTCTTTATTTGGTCTTAATCTCCAAAAAACAAAACAAAAACATCTTTCTGTCTCTTTGGGAGAGGACCACGCATTCTGAAACCAGCAAAGCCTCAAATTTTATCAACCCTACTTCCGTTTTCTCTATTTTTTAGGCTATCCTTTCCTGTCCTGGTTTAGCCCTGGTCCAGTCCTGTTTTAGTCCTGGTTCAGTCCTGGTTCAGTCCTGTTTTAGTCCTGGTTCAGTTCTGGTTCAATCCTGGTTTAATCCTGTTTTAATTGTGGTTCAGTCCTTTTTTGGTCCTGGTTCAGTCCTAGTTTAGTCCTGTTTTAGTTTTGGTTGAGTTCTGGTTCAGTCCTGGTTCAGACCTGGTTCAGTCCTGGTGTAGTCCTGTTTTAGTCCTGGTTCAGTCCTAGTTCAGTCCTGTTTTAGTCCTGGTTCAGTTTTAGTCCTGATTCAGTCCTGGTTCAGTTCTGGTTCAGTTCTGGTTCAGTCCTGGTTCAGTCCTGATTTAGTCCCATTTTAGTCCTGATTTAGTCCCGTTTTAGTCCTGGTTCAGTCCTGTTTTTATCCTGGTTTAGTCCCATTTTATTCCTGTTTTAATCCCGTTTTAGTCCTGTTTTAGTCCTGGTTTTAGTCCTGATTTAGTCCAATTTTAGTCCTGTTTTAGTCCCATTTTAGTCCTGGTTCAGTCCTGTTTTAGTCCCATTTTAGTCCTGTTTTAGTCCTTTAGTCCTGTTTTAGTCCTGTTTAGTCCTGTTTTTATCCTGGTTTAGTCCCATTTTAGTTCCTGTTTTAATCCCGTTTAGTCCTGTTTTAGTCCTGGTTTAGTCCTGATTTAGTCCCATTTTAGTCCTGTTTTAGTCCTGGTTCAGTCCTGTTTTTATCCTGGTTTAGTCCCGTTTTAGTCCTGTTTTAATCCTGTTTTAGTCCTGTTTTAGTCCTGGTTTAGTCCCGTTTTAGTCCTGGTTGAGTCCTGGTTCAGTCCTAGTTCAGTCCTGTTTTAGTCTTGGTTTAGTCCTGGTTCAGTCCTAGTTCAGTCCTGTTTTAGTCTTGGTTTAGTCCTGGTTCAGTCCTGGTTCAGTCCTGGTTCAGTCCTGTTTTAGTCTTGGTTTAGTCCTGGTTCAGTCCTGGTTCAGTCCTGTTTTAGTCTTGGTTTAGTCCTGGTTCAGTCCTGGTTCAGTCCTGTTTTAGTCTTGGTTTAGTCCTGGTTCAGTCCTGTTTTTATCCTGGTTTAGTCCCATTTTATTCCTGTTTTAATCCCGTTTTAGTCCTGTTTTAGTCCAAGTTTAGTCCTGATTTAGTCCAATTTTAAGTCCCGTTTTAATCCTGTTTTTAGTCCTGGTTCAGTCCTGTTTTTATCCTGGTTTAGTCCCATTTTAGTCCTGTTTTAATCCTGTTTTAGTCCTGTTTTAGTCCTGGTTTAGTCCCGTTTTAGTCCTGGTTGAGTCCTGGTTCAGTCCTAGTTCAGTCCTGTTTTAGTCTTGGTTTAGTCCTGGTTCAGTCCTAGTTCAGTCCTGTTTTAGTCTTGGTTTAGTCCTGGTTCAGTCCTAGTTCAGTCCTGTTTTAGTCTTGGTTTAGTCCTGGTTCAGTCCGTACGCGGCACAAAAGTTCGGCATCGCAGTTTAAGCCACAGAAACATAAATCATTTTCCATTTTCAAATTTTTTATCAACCCTACTTCCGTTTTCTCTATTTTTTAGCTTTATTTTAGCAGCTGAGACCGGAAGCTGGCAGATTTACGCAAACTTGACACTGGTCCCAACTTGTGTGTGCGCGCGCTGCTCGGAGCTCGCTCGCACTTCACCGGAGAACTCCTGTCACGGATTCACGTTTGTCTCTGGTCTCTGGACACTCATCCCTCGCGGTTTTTTTTTTTTTTGCAGCGTGGACGTGGATTTACCCCCCGCCCACCCCCAACCCTCGGGGAGCTTTTTGTGGAGCTTTACCTTGGACTACACGGGACTGATGCTGCGGGAACGTGGAAGCGCATAGGCTCGATTTCCCTCCACAAGGTAAGTGAGGTGTGCGGCGCGCGCGTGGCACAGTGTGACAGGACACCGAGCGGCCACGATCGCGCGTAATTTCATTGATTATTTCACATTTTTTACTGATCAATCGCGGGTAAAATGTCACTCGGTTGCGTTGGGAAAGTTGGAGACGTTTGCGCATTTGGATAAGCGACGCGGAATTGGCGAGTCGTGCGTGTTTAGTCTTTCTCTGCCCACTCAACTCCCACAATATCGCGGATGACAAGAAGACTGGCACCGAACTGAGTGGCACTGGAGGTAATTTATACATTTTTTTTGGCGTTAAAACCGCCTCACTTGGCTGAATTTCGCACGAGAGACCAAAATGGATCCATGCAAAGTGGGCAACTGCGATAAAATGCACCTCCACAGGCTCTAACTCGCGCAAACTTTTCTTGAATTTTAATTTTAAATGCATCAGACAACAACAAAATCTGAACCAACCAGGACTTGAAACTAAATCCAACTTGGTGGCTTTATTTGCTTATTTAAAAATTGAGTTAGTAAAGTTAAAGGTGCACCAACTTTTCAGGTGGAGGGACGTACAAACGTGGACAAAATTGTTGGTTCTCCTCTGTTGGGAAGGTGACTTTTAAAATGTTTTCTCCTACAGATTACAGATTACATACACCAAAATGTAGTTTGTAACGGAATCCATTAAATGAGTTAAAATGATTAACGTAATCTGAATACTTTGGATTACTTGATTTGCTGTAGAGAAACAAAGACTAAGACGTTTTGTTTGCTAAAAGAAAATGAAAAGATCAAACTTTACTGAGCCAAATTAAAAATATTATTGATAGAAGAGGAGGAGACACGTCCAAGCAACATGAATGAGTTCTGTTTTAGTTTTGTTTTAGTCCTGGTTTAGACCTGGTTTTAGTCCTGGTTTAGTCCTTTTAAATCCTGGTTTAGTCCTGGTTTTAGACCTGGTTTAAATCTAGTTTAGATCTAGTTTAGACCTGGTTTTAGTCCTGGTTTAGTCCTGGTTTAGATCTAGTTTAGACCCTGGTTTTAGTCCTGCTTTAGACCTGGTTTAGATCTAGTTTAGACCCTGGTTTTAGTCCTGGTTTAGACCTGGTTTAGATCTAGTTTAGACCCTGGTTTTAGTCCTGGTTTAGACCTGGTTTAGATCTAGTTTAGACCCTGGTTTTAGACCTGGTTTTAGTCCTGGTTTAGATCTAGTTTAGACCCTGGTTTTAGTCCTGGTTTAGACCTGGTTTAGATCTAGTTTAGACCCTGGTTTTAGACCTCGTTTTAGTCCTGGTTTAGATCTAGTTTAGACCCTGGTTTTAGTCCTGGTTTAGATCTAGCATAGGTCTAGTTTAGACCTGGTTTTAGTCCTGGTTTAATCCTGGTTTAATCCTGGTTTAGTCCTGGTTTAGATCTAGTTTAGACCCTGGTTTAGTCCTGGTTTAGATCTAGTTTAGATCTAGTTTAGACCCTGGTTTAGTCCTGGTTTAGATCTAGTTTAGACCTGGTTTTAGTCCTGGTTTAGTTTCCAGCAATGAGTGGAATTACCGAAAAAACAGGAAAATACCTCCGTGTAATCCATTTATTTCAACAAAGTAACTGTAATCCAGTTACCACTCACTGAAACAGTAACTGTAACTGAATACAGTTACTCATAATTTGTACTCTGAGTACATGTAATCTGTTACACTGCCCCTCTGGTAATGAAAGAAAAATCAACAATGGTCACTGAAATAACTTGAAATTAAGAAAAGCAAAAGAATCTCAAAACTATCAAGGTGTTTTGGAACGAAATGTGTCGCCTAGTGTTAGAAAATTTGGTCTCAGTCGTAGGACAATGACCCAAAACACACACAGAACGGCTAAAAACAAAACATTGGACTGTTCTGGAGTGTTCTTCTTCTTCTTCTCACGTGAAATGGGTCAAAATACCAGTTGACCAGAGCAGAAGTCTTGTTCACAGTTACAGAAATCGTTTGTTTGCAGAATTTCCCTCGAAAAGTTGTGCAACAAAATATTAAGTTAAGAATATCATCATTTTTGCCAGGCCAGTTTCATTATTTAGTTTTTTCTAATAATTCTGTTGAACCACAGGTAAAAACCGATGTTTGATTTCTGTTGGAGAATTTTCAGAACATTTTTATTTATTATTTCTTTTATCAGTTTCGAGTTATTTCAGTGACGATTGCTGATTTTTCTTTCATTGCCAGAGGGGAACCAGCAATTTTGAGAGACAAACTCCATGTCATTGCCGAGCTTGGAAAGTTGCAGATTGTGGCTTTAAACGTGTGTAACTTTATGGAGACACTACCAGGCCAAGTTACAGGTCAGATCTGTGGAGAGGCGACCCCACTCATAATAAAACTGTATGTTTTTCAAGGTACTTTTTAAGGTATTGAACACACACAGTTAAATACATGTTACAAAGATAAATAAACTTAAAGTTGCACTATGTAACTTTTTGCTTGAGGGTCCGTCACCTGCTTGTTGCTATGGATATGTCCTTGGTCTGCCTGGAATGTTCCACAGTGTGACATTAAACAGCTCTACCTTACATTTATTCAATTACAGTACCTTGAAAAACAGGCGCTGTGACTGTGAGCGGGGGTCGCCTCTCCACAGATCTGACCTGTAACTTGGTCTGGTTCGGTCTCCATGACGATAGAAAGGTTTAATGCCATACCGTGGAACCTTCCAGACAAAGCACACTGCAAGATTGAGATGTTAAGATGACTTGAATTAAGAAAGTTTTATCATGATTTGAGTAAATTTCACTTGACAAGTAAAACGATCTGCCAGCGGAACAAGACTTTTTGTACTTAAAATATGAAAATACAACTTGTTACACTTAAAATAAGAAAAACAACAACTTTTTGCACTTGAAATAAGAAACAAAATCGAATGTTGCTTGAATTAAGAAAAACACACTTATTCCACTGGTAGATCATTTTACTTGTCAAGTTGAATCGACTCAAATAAAGTTTAATGTTTTTTTAATTTAAGTCATTTTAACTTGCCTAGATATAGTTTTGTTTTTGTTTTTTCCAGTGCAATAACATTTCCATGTAGAAAAGCGTCAGAAGTTGCACAATGCACCGTTAATACCACACTTCATCAAAACACAGAACCACCTGAAAAGTTACATGGTGCAACTTTTAAAGGGACAGTCTGGAGTTTTGGACATAGGACCTAATTTCCTAGTGAGTCAGAGTGTTGGAGACGTGTGGAGACACTTTTTAAAATATTCCATCAAGTTCTTGTATTTGCAGAGGTCGCTGGTGCTAGACTAGTGCATGTCAATGGTCATAGTTATCCTGCCACTAAAAACAGTGTTACCCACTCCACAATAGAGGTGTGCAAAAATATCAAAATATGGATATATCATGTCGTTGAATGTGATAATACAGTATTGATATCGAGGGCTGCTGTATCGATACATCGCCAAGAGTATTTTTTGGTATATTTTACTAATTTATTGTGGTACAGCTCTACAGTTTTGTTGCTCGTTTAGAGGAAGAAACTCATTTATGCGACACATTTGACATTTTCACTGTTTTGATGACTAAAATGTTTGTGTTTCATACAAACTTTGCATAAAAAGTGGTTTAACAAAGACTTTTAGTATCACAGACATGATTTAGCCTTTATTTTTTATTGAACCGTATCAAAATGATGTGAAATATATCGTATCGAACTGACAATGCACTGTATCGAAGTATGTATCGTATCAGCAACTTGTTAATAATACCAAGCCCTACCCAACAAAGCACTCGAGGCAAATCTGTTATTACACCAGACTGTTGATGTAAATGTCTGTGTTGATAGAATAATGTTTGAAGTAAAACTAACCTTGCATCGCATGAATCGTCGCATGTTGAGGGACTATTTTCTCATATATCAGTCCGCCGCTGCCAAACTTTCTATCAGGAAGTACAACTCACTGCTGCTCAGACATAAATCCTTCAAATGCAAGGTTGGTTTTACTTCTTAAATTATTCTATCAACACAGACATTTACATGGACAGTCTGGTGTAATAATAGATTTTCTTCGGGTGTTTTGTGGAGTGGGTAAGACTGGTGGTCTTACAGCCACACAATAATGCCACAAGATGTACAAATATACAAATGCGACATTTAAACCCCCTTCTCCCCATTCCCAAACCCCCTTCGCCCTCCCCACATCCACCCTTAACAGACATTGGAAAAAAAAAAATAATTATAATATATAATAATAATAATAAAAAAAATAAAAAATAAAAAAATAAAAATAATAATAATAATAAATAATAATAATAATAATAAAATAACAATTATTATTAACAACAACAACAATATTATTATTAAGAAAAAAATTAACATTTTAAAAATAAATAAAAATAAATAATAAAATAAAAATACAATAGTAATAGTAATATTGACCAGAAAATAATAATTAAAATAAAGTAACAATAATTACATTAATAATGATGCAAACGAAATATATACAAATTACATAAATTTGCATACATACACATAAACGCACACACCCATAACAGATGCATTCAAAAAAATTACAAAAAAATTACAAAAAGTTACATATTTAAGTATATGTGTACAGGTGTCCATATTTCCAGAACATATCTTGTTTGCCATTTCGTTCATAAGTCAGTTTTTCCAGGGGAATGGTTGATGATAACTGAGTTAACCATAAATCCAGTGTAGGTAAGTGTGGGGTTGCCCACTTGAAAAGAACACATTTTTTTGCCAAAGACATCATAATCATTAACATAGGCTACATTCAGACTGCAGCCTGAAGTGACCCAAATCCGATTTTTTAGCCCCTGTGTGATCCTGTATCTGATCTTTAATGACAGTCTGAACGACACAGATCCGTTTTTTTCAAATGTGACCCAGGACACTTGGATATGTGCTCATAAAACCGAAACATATCTGATCTTTTGACATGCGACTTCAATCTGAACGGTCAAAGCGCATTCATCCCACCTACATGTTATCAACAAACCACAAACGTC